ACGTTATATTTAATTTTAATATTAAAAAATATCTATGGATATCCTAAATTTTGATTTAAAACCGTAATCCTTAAAAAAGTAAACCCTGATTGTTTCAAAGATCTAGGCGGCGTGTTAAGAGAGAGAGAGGGTTTAAACAAATGCAAAATAATTCCAGTAAGCCCTAGATTTAATCATGGTCGCAAAAGTTTTCAATGGATTCAGGAAATCAAAATCAATCTTAAAATCAATCTTAAATAATTACAGTAAGCCCTAGATTTAATCATGGTCTCAAAAGTTTTCGATGGCATTCACGAAATCAACAAAAACAATCTTAAAACCAAGTAGCAGCAGAATACATAATCGATTCGTAGGAATCTAACCTGTTTAGGTTGTCATGGTGAAGAACATTGAAGCATCGATCCCAAAAACACGACCGTCGTCTCCATCTGAATTATCAGAGAGAAACAAAACCAAAATCAACATAATAATTAGACAAGACTACTGAATCCAATTGAAAGCAAAAAAGGGGGAAAAAGCTCTCACACCTGAATCGGGATGATGAACCACCATTCCTTGTAGATCTTCCGATGCTCTTTCAAACGATCGAGATCGCCGAAGACGTCCACCATTACTGTGAGTCTCTCAATATATCGAGAGAGAGAGAGAGATGATCGATAAGCTTTAGCGAGAGAGAGATATATAGAGAGAGGATGAGCTTGAGAGACAGAGAGGATAAGCTTGAGAGACATAAGAGATAAGCTTGCCACTAACTTGTGACACATGACAAGTGATTAGGTGATAAGCTTGACATACAGAAGAGATCTAGGATAAGCTTGCCACCAAGTTGTGACATCTGACAGGTGATATAGGTGATAAGCTTGCCACTAAATTGTGACATGTGACAAGTGATTAGGTAATAAGCTTGAGAGACATAAGAGAGGATAAGCTTGCCACTAAATTGTGACATCAGACAAGTGATTAGGTGATAAGCTTAAGACATAAGAGAGGATAAGCTTGTCACTTAACTTGTGACACCTCACAAGTGATTAGGTGATAATGATAAGATCATATATCATATGACAAGTGATTCAATGAAACAATTTTTTTGGTTTTCTTATACATTATATGAACCTAACCGAACCAAACCAAGCTAAATTGTGTTGGGTTATTGTGCTTCCTAACGTCTAATAGCCAAACTACTTTAAACCTGAAACAACTGGACCAACCAAACCGAACCGACTACCTCTATTAGATATTTATAAGTGCAGTCAAAAAATGGTTTTACCCTACAAAAAATGATCTCTCCAATATTTTGTTGTAAAGGTTTCATGCATCTTTACTCAACCATCCCAGTAATAATTAGGGTGGTATGCAATTTTGCTGTGGGTTTGATCAGGCTCCATATGTAATCTAACTCTTCAAGGCCTCGATTTATGGATTGTGGAAAGAGAGGAATACCCGACAAGTAGGAATATTTTAGCTACCGCTATGTCTTATTGTTCCATAATCTCCTTTGTATCAGCTCCTTAATTATGTGTTCGTTGATTCTGGTTGTAAGTTTCAAATTGTATTCCTGATGGAAATTCATGTAAATTAATAAAACTAATGATCTGCGACTCTTGATGAGTTTCCAGGCCTCAAAAACATCGTTCATATCTTTATCATCCTTTTTGTTGTCGTGTGTTGATAACAAATACCTTTTTGACTATTTGCTTAATTTTCACCTATTTAACGACTAGCTAGATATAATCAATTAGAATCCCTTCTACGCATACAATCCCAATCCCAAGGTATGTATTTGAAGTAAACTGATATTGTATCTCAGGTCCTCTATCTCGAAATCACATTAAAGTATCCTCCCTTAAATTTTGTTTCTGTGATGCAATCTTATCTAACAATTTAATTATGCGATCTAGCCAGTTACAAGCGAAAAGACGCAACCCAGATAAACACAACTTTTTAGATGAGCGGTTATAGGTACGGTTAAAAACAAAAAGGTGCAAACACAAAAGGCATTTATTTAGTTTGCTATTATATTTTATATTTAACTAGATTAATACCCGCGTATACGCGGATTTATTTTAAGATTTTGTAATAAAATCATGGAAAAGTATTAAACCAAATTTGATCATTTTAAAGTAAACAAAATAATATTAAAAACCCGATAAAAATATTTAAATAAAATAAGATCGGTAACCATTTTACGTTTTTATTGTAATTGATATTTTTTTTGAATTCATGATATGAAAAATGAATTAATTTGTTTTATTTTTATTTTTATCCAATATAGAAAGACTTATATATGTCTAAATATGATCAACTGATTAATTAATTCAACAAAACTTTTATTATTCCATTCAAGAGATTTCAATTGATGAAATCTTTATTTAATAATTTTTTACCTAACAATATTGAAAATTAAACTATTTAAAATTAGAATATCGGTTCATTATATTTTCTTAATATTAGTTAGTTGCTTGATGATGTCAAAAAAAAAGGTTAGTTGCTTGATAATTAATTTGTTAGTTTTCTATTTATATTGTTTCTTTCTCAATTTTATTTTTGACTCAGACCATTAAAATTTTTCATTTTCATTATTACTTAGTTTTTTTAAATTATTTTTCTAGCTTATTATATATGTTTTTTTTTCCTGTTCATAATGGGAATATAAACACATATCGCAATTTTGTGAGTTATAAAATTCATGCGTATTGCTATCATGTTGTTTGCTTTGATGAGTTTGTGAATGAGAAAAAAAACTACTTTAACTCTCTTTTTATAGGGGTTCATGTAACTTACTCCATGCAGTTATAGGAAATTTAGTTTTCTTAACCTATTTCATGTACTAATAGGATTTTATTTATTTCATTAATTTGAATCTTATATGTGTTTGGATAATATAAATTTGATGAATGGGAAACCTATTTCTATTAGTATATGAAAAATATAATTTTTTTTCTTTTAACTATAAAAGATTAAAATTTCATTTTGTTTCCCTTTATCTATTTTTTTTAATAATTAAACTTTTTCTTTTTTTTCTAAGACACATGTCACGATCTTAACGGAAATACCATTAAAAGTGACAAATGTCGCAATCCTCAATTTTATAAAAATCTTTTGTGTCGCAACCACGTCGCGCACATGATGAATGGGAAAACTTTTTCTGTTAGGATATGACAAATATTAAAAAAAATTAAAATAAAATAGATTAAATTATGTTTTTTTTTTAATTAAATTTCGTTTTTTTTAATTATCCTATTTCTAGTATTTAAAAAAAAAAAAAATTCTTTTTTCCCCTAATATACGTGTCACGATCTTAACGGAAATAATCTTAAAAGTGACACATGTCACGATCCTATATTTTATAAAAATCCTATGTGTCGCAACCACGTCGCGCACATCCAGCTTTATATAATAAGATAGTTCCCGATCTAATATAAATCACATCGTAATTATATTCGACTCAAATCACATCGGTAATGATAGCTTTGAATCTATATCAAAATAGTTTGTTTGTGCAAAAGCCATAGCCAAAGAGGACCAACGTAATGAATAAAACAATACTTTTCGATGTAAGAAAGGGATTTAATAAAAAAAAAAAAAAAAAACAATGAGAGAAGTAGGGAGAACAAATAAGAAAAGAATTAGGACAGGATGGAAAACATATTGTAATTGAAGGATCAAATAATCTCATACAGTATATATAGAAGTGAAAATGTATCACTAAAAGGTGCAACTTTTCAACAATTTAGCGGTTATAAGCGAAAATATGCGACTGTAAAAGACACATATAATAAGATAAGACGGTTAAAAACAAAAAAAGTGCGACAGCAAAAAACATTTGTTCAGTTTGCTATTATATATAGATTAATAAAAACCGCATTAAGGGTTTTAGCAATGGAAGAACAAAATATTAAAATCTCTATCAATGGTTTTTAGAGGAAATTGATAGAAAATTTATATTTAAAAATTTGTTAAAACCAAGGATGAGATTCTAGCGATGGAGATGGTCTAATGAATGATACACCTTTTATTTTGACTGTTTCTATTTTGTTTGAAACGTAATAAGTTTTTGTGAAGTTGATTGATTGTTTGTCTTGAGATTGCTGCATATTCGTGGAAGTTCATTGTAATGCTCTACCGTGACTGTGATGTGTGCTTGCTCTTTCAGAGAAAGAGGCAATCATTAGCAAGAATCTGATGAGACACAACATGCCCCACCTTTAATTGCATATATATTCCTTGGTTTCATCTGACAGAACATGAACAGATCAAAGACTTAATGGGTAACCTTGTCTAAAACCACATTCTGGAGTAATTTTAACATATGCATTTACGTTGATGAAGATCGAGGATCAAGAAAGATACACACATCATTTGTCCATTAATGTTCCAACTTCGTTTTGGAAGACAATCGAGGAAGACCATTCGGCCCGCCGACGCGCTCTCTTGTACGGTTTTGCTTTGCTCTTCCTAGCTTCCTCAGGCCGTAGATAGTTTATAGTAATTTTGACAATGATTGTTGTTCGTTAGGCTAGTTGCTGTATTAAAAAAAAAAACCGTCATAACACAAGTCACAAAACTCTAAATCACATTTCAGAGTTTGAGGATACCATGAATGGTTCTAATCAAAACCAAACTCGGAATAATTTATCCAAAACTAGAAATCACAAGTTCACAACATATTTTGCTATTTATAGTTACTAAAACAACCAAATCCATACACAATAGCACAAATCTCTTCTTTATGATTCATAGAGATTTATTGTAAGTTTTGATATGCGGGAAATAAATCAATAGCTTAGATTGATTTGCTGGAAAGACTTATTTTGGTTTGTGGAAGTCATCTTTTTACCGTGTGATGAGTTTTTGGACACGACTTTGAAAGTCTTTACCCACTTGGATTATACACAAAATCGGAATAATTCAGCCAAAACTAGAAATCACAAGTCCTCTACGTATTTTGCTATATAGTTCCTAAACTTTCTTCCACTTAATCCACAATATCATAGTCTAAAATGACTTCAAAAAAACCGGTTAATCGCCCATCAGTGAGGCATCCAAGTCACATCCATCCATTGCGTGCCTTCAAGGCCCAAGACGAAGATGAGATCATCTGCTCTGGATGCGAGCTCGACCTGACCGCACAATCATTCAAGTGTACGAAGAAAGACTGCGATTACTTCTTGCACAAGTCATGTTTTGACCTACCTTGTGAAATCAATCACAAGTCTCATCCTGACCACTCTTTAACCCTGCTTCATTCCCCATCTTATAGTCATCAATCTTACGAATGTGACGCGTGCGGTGAGTATGGATCCAGTTTCAATTACAATTGTTCTGAGTGTAAGTACGATGTTCATGTCGGGTGTGCTTTGATCCCTGAGACCGTGGAGCGCGAAGATCACAAACATCCACTCGCTCTACTTTACAACACACCGAGAAAAGGTCGTGAGGACGGTGAGATGTACGTATGTAATGTTTGTGAAGAAGATATGTCAGAGAATCTTTGGGTTTATTACTGCAAAGAATGTGATTACGGGACTCATGTGCATTCTTGCGCCGTTGATGATGACGATTATGAGCCAAAGAAAGGAGGAGGAGGAGAATCAAGCTCCGTGGCTTCAAGGATGAAGTCGTTGATGGATGCTGAAGATGAGTTGGTGGCGATGGAGCTCGAGTCACGTATGAAGAGAGCTGCTAATAATGCTATACTCGCGAGTGTACGTGATGAACCTAAGCGGATATATTATTGGTGATCAAATTAATTTGATAAAATGATGAAGCTTGTGATTGTTCTTTCTTTTGGGAATTTTTATTTTATTTTTGAGTTATTGTAATTTCTTTTTTCATGTAATTCTATCTTTAAAAATAATAATATGCTGATTGATCATATATTGGCTTAATCTTAGGGGACATATATATTAGAGATCAGTTACAATCATGAATATTATATAACCAATTATTACACTTAATTTGGACAAGTGCTTCGTATAATTTATTTTATTTTTGCCAGTGAAATAGTGATCATTACTCTAGGATTTAAAGTAGCAATGGGGAGAAAAATACAAAAAAAAAAGTGATAGAATACATCAGACGTATTATCGCAAGAGAAAGAAGCTGCCACGTGTATCGTTGACTGAGGAAGAAGAAGTCAACAGTCAAACTTCTAATTGAGGCGGAAGGTTTGCGGTTACAACGGCTGGAGCTCAACAGATAGTTAAATAGAGCTTCTTCTCTTATTGAAAGCTTTATGCATTTACAAGTAGAAGTTAGCTATGGAGCTAGAGAGCTGAAAGATGCTCTGAGATAAGATCAAAGTGTCATCGAGATCTCGTTTACTTGTATTCGCAACAAATATCAATCAAATCATGTACTATTCAGCTATACACTCTCTCTCTATTCTCTACTTTCGTCTATCATTGGTGCGGCGAGCTTCCGACGAATCCAACGCGAGCAACAATGGCGATGCGCCAAATTTCACCGGGAACTTCAGAATGCGGAGAATTCGATGGAGCTTCACAAATGCAGCTCGACATGGACCGTGTCACTCGCAATCTCAAATCCTTCACCGAATTTCAGCGCGAGACGGAGAAGAAGATCGATTCGATAGATCAACGGTTCGATAAGCTGGAATCGAAGATGGATTCGATACTTTCCATGATCGCGCGACTAACACCATCACATCCGGGACAAACCTCAGCAACACCGCCGTTTTCATCAACTCCGATTCAGGTATCTCCTCAATTGGAACAAAACCTGAAGGATGACTCGCTAGGATATCGATCTGGGAATTTGAATTTAGCGAATCGAGATACCTTGTTGAAGAAAGTAGAAATGCATGTTTTCTCTGGGAAACAACCATATGTGTGGATTATTGAAGCAAAGAGATTCTTCCACATTGGCGGCTACACAGAGGAGGAAAAATTGGATATCGTTGGGTTGAGTTTGGAAGGGAGGGTCAGAAAGTGGTACTATTGGGAGCTACAAAGAAATGTATTCAAGAGTTGGTCAGCCTTCAAGGACAAACTGATTCTGCGTTTCTCAGAATCAATTGAGGAAGCTCCAGGGAAGAGATTGTTCAGATTGAAGCAACAAGGATCAGTCGATGATTACATAACGGAGTTTGAGGAATTGTCATCAGTGGTACCAGGATTAAGTGATGAAACGTTGTCACACGTATTTTACAATGGCCTCACAACGGAGATGCAGGAAGTGATAAAAATGAAGGAGCCTCGTAGTTTGGAACACCACATATCAGCGGTTCTCAGGATGGAGTCGAGTGCGTTTTGCAAAGTCGTAAGTGAGACTCCAGGAGTTGATACCAGCTCAAGACACAGAAAACCTGTCACTTCACAGAGAGCCTTAGTTCCGTTTGAGAGTCGACCTACAACTATACCACCACGTTCTCAAGGGAAGGAGAATGAACAGACAACAGGCCATCAGAGACCTCGACAACGTTTATCTGACACAGAAATTAAGAAGATGAAAGAAGACAATATTTGCTTCAAATGCAAAGGGCCATGGTCATGCGAACACAGAGCAGTGTGCCCAATGAAGGAATTCCGAGTCTTGACAGTCATCAATGGTTTAGAAATGGAGATATTCGAAGAAGCAGAGACATATGAAGAGTTGAATGAACAATTGGTGATGGCTCACGAGGTCAGGAGTCTTTCATTAAACTCGTTCTTGGGAAAGCACTCTCCAAAGACTCAGAAACTTTATGGAAAGTTTAACAAGTCCAACGTGATTGTGATGCTGGACAGTGGCGCTTCACACAACTTTATTTCACCAGAGTTAGTGAAGCGTTTGAAATTGAAATCTAGTGGAGATGACAACCTCGACATTCTTTTGGGCAATGGTCTTACGGTACAAGGTGATGGAGTGTGCCGTGACGTAACCTTTTCCCTAGTCGATGTCAGCTTCAAAGCAGATTTCATAACATTAGAACTGGGAGCAGTGGATGTCATCTTAGGTGTTCAATGGCTTGAGACGCTCGGGAAATGCGAAGTAGATTGGAAGAAGTAGGAGCTATCGTTTTTTCACAACAATAAAAAGTGACATTGATAGGCGACCCTTCTCTGCATTCTCCCCGGCTATCGTTGAAGACATTGAATGTCTTACCTATTGATACCAAGGGAAGAGAAGCGCCTATGGTACTCAGTAGTTTGACACCCATCAGTCTTCAAGCAGTTCCGGGACCAATCTCCAACCTTTTGGATCAGTACACGGAAGTTTTTGACGATCCTCGAGGATTACCACCGTTTAGGGGACAAGAACATGGCATTAATTTTGCCCCTGGGGTCACGAGCATCTCGGTGCGACCTTACAAAGGTTGTGATGGAGAAGATGGTATCAGAAATGTTAGAAGCGGGAATCATTCGAGAAAGTTCAAGCCCGTTTTCTAGTCCAGTGTTGTTAGTGCCAAAGAAAGACAACGCTTGGCGTTTCTGTATCGATTATCGTGCGTTGAACAGAGCAACTATCCCAGATAAATTTCCGATTCCGGTTATTGACCAACTACTGGATGAGCTCCATGGTGCCACGATCTTCTCCAAATTAGACCTGCGATCCGGTTATCATCAGATCAGAATGAAAGATGAGGATATTCACAAAACCGCGTTTTGCACCTTGGAGGGTCATTACGAGTTCTTAGTTGTGCCCTTTGGACTAACGAACGCCCCATCAACCTTCCAAGGATTGATGAACAAAATCTTCAAACCATTTCTACGAGAGTTTGTCTTGGTGTTCTTTGATGATGTATTGATCTACAGCTCGAGTGTGGATGAGCATGTTGAACATTTGAGGAAAGTAATGACAGTTTTTCAGGAGCAGACTCTGTTGGCCAATAAGAAGAAATGTGTTTTTGGGTTGCCACAAGTGGAGTATTTGGGACATATTATATCAGCTAAAGGAGTAGCTACAGATGCAGCTAAGACGTCTGCAATGAAAAGTTGGCCAACACCGCAGTGTGTCAAAGAATTGAGAGGGTTCCTCGGACTTACTGGGTATTACAGAAAGTTTGTACGTGGGTATGGAATTATCGCGAGGCCACTTACAGATCTCCTAAAGAAAGATAAGTTTGCGTTGTCAGAGGAGGCACAAGAGGCATTTACAAAACTAAAAGAAGCAATGGCGTCGGCACCAGTCTTGGCCATGCCTGATTTTGATAAGGTGTTTGTGTTGGAAACAGATGCCTCAGGGTTTGGAGTTGGTGCAGTTTTGATCTAGGAGAAACGGCCAATAGCATTCTTCAGTCACGGGTTTACAGCGAGAGACAACTTAAACCAGCGTATGAGCGTGAACTGATGGCCATCGTCATGGCAGTAATGAAATGGAAACACTATCTACTTGGAAGGAAATTTGAAGTACACACGGATCAGCGTGCCTTAAATATCTCTTGGAACACAAGGAAGTCAATTTGGAATATCAGAGATGGCTCACAAAGCTTTTGGGGTTTGATTTTGATATCATGTATAAACCGGGTTGCGAGAACAAAGCTGCAGATGGTCTATCAAGAATTCCGACCAGTTCAGCTCTCATCAGTTCAACGTTATTGGCTTTGACAGTTCCAGAGGCATTACAGCTACAAGACCTTTACAAAGAAATCGAGAAAGATGTTGATATTCAGACTATCATTTCTCAGGTGAAAGCAGGAACAGCAGCTTCGAGTTATGAGGTGATCAATGAGCTACTTTGGTTTCGACAAAGATTGGTGATTCCTCGTGACTCTTCATTCATTCCGTTGATCATCAGTCAGTGCCACGACAGCCAAATTGGAGGTCACTCGGGTGTTTTGAAGACAGTTAAGCGGATCCAACTCAGCTTTCAGCGGTCGGGAATGTATAAAATGGTTCAGCGTTACGTTTCAGAATGTTTGATCTGTCAGCATTATAAATACTCCACTCTCTCTCCGGCAGGCTTACTTCAACCGCTTCCGATTCCGACTGCTGTATGGGAAGATATTAGTATGGACTTTGTGGAAGGGTTACCAATGTCCTGTGGTTTCAATGTGATTCTTGTGGTGATTGATCGTCTCAGCAAATTTGGTCATTTCATAGGTCTGCGGCACCCGTTTAATGCAGTAGATGTGGCTCAGAGTTTTATCAGGGAGATAGTGAGGCTGCATGGGTTCCCTCGTTCGATTGTTTCTGATAGAGATAAGATTTTTCTGAGCAAATTCTGGAAAGAACTATTTCGTCTGGAGGGAACTAAACTCAACTATAGCACGGCCTTTCACCCTCATACCGATGGACAAACGGAGGTACTAAACCGTTGCCTTGAGACGTATCTTCGTTGTTTTGCATCCGGCCATCCCAAAACTTGGCACAAGTTTCTTCCTTGGGCAGAGCTTTGGTACAATACGTCGTACCACACAGCTTTAAAGACGTCTCCTTTCCGCGTTTTATATGGCCGAGATCCCCCGAGTGTATTGACAGGGTTCAACGTCTAATTTTGATTTGGAGGAGATGTTAAAAGAACGTGATGAGATGTTGGTTCAGATCAGGTTTTGAGTTGCAGAGGACGCAGAATATCATGCAGGAGTCCGCTAACAAGCATCGACGTGATTTAGAGTTTGAAGTGGGCGATAAGGTGTTCCTGAAACTCAAACCGTATAGACAGCAGACTGTGGTCAAACGTTTATGCCCCAAGTTAGCCGCACGCTTCTTTGGCCCTTACACTGTGGTGGAACGAGTGGGAAAGGTGGCATATAAGTTGGATTTGCCCCCCGGTTCTCAGATTCATCCAGTGTTCCATGTTTCACAGCTTAAAAAGGCGATAGGCAATGAACATGAGCTTGAACCATTACCGGCGGCAGTCACGGATCTGCGTACTGTGGACCTCGAACCGGAAGAAGTGTTGGCTAAAAGATTTGATCCTACGGGCCGTGTGGAGTTGTTGATCAAATGGAAGGGTCAACCGGATCATGAGAGCACTTGGGTTCACTCTGCAACGCTGTTTGAGCAGTTTCCGAATGATAAGCTTGAGGACAAGCTGGTTTTTAAAGGGGAGGGTATTGATAGAATACATCAGACGTATTATCACAAGAGAAAGAAGCTGCCACGTGTATCGTTGACTGAGGAAGAAGAAGTCAACAGTCAAACTTCTAATTGAGACGGAAGGTTTGCGGTTACAACGGCTGGAGCTCAACAGATAGTTAAATAGAGCTTCTTCTCTTATTGAAAGGTTTATGCATTTACAAGTAGAAGTTAGCTATGGAGCTAGAGAGCTGAAAGATGCTCTGAGATAAGATCAAAGTGTGATCGAGATCTCGTTTACTTGTATTCGCAACAAATATCAATCAAATCAGGTACTATTCAGCTATACACTCTCTCTCTATTCTCTACTTTCGTCTATCACAAAGTCAAATAATTAAGAAGCACAACTCCAAACTTGCCTTAAACATGTAGTATGAAGAACAGAAGAAGGCACATGAGTGATCCGCGTAATTTGAACAACTATTGGGATTGCTTGGGTTTCTTGAGTTACTCAAACGGTCCAACTCCATTGGGATTGCTTGGGTTTCTTCACGCGTTGTAACTTCAAGCCACGAAAACGACGCCGTTTTCTGCAGCAAAACCGAGACAGACTTGGGAAAACCTGACTTGAAAATTTAGTAACAAGTCAACGTCTTACCAAATTTAGTTCCTTTTTTTTTTGCTAAAGACCAAATTTAGTTCCTTTCCATTTCATTTCACGTCTATCCAAACATTAAAACTCAACTTATGATTAATTTCCGTTTCGTCGATTTATATTTATGATTAATTTTACAGCTGTTTGGTAAATATTGTAGCAGTCGAGGTTTCTTTTACGAATAATACTAGGATTTAACCCGCACAAATGTGCGGGGCAAACAATTTCTAAAATTATAAAAAAATTATTATATTTTTTGTTGTGTGCAAGAACAAATTAGTAAAATTTCATAAGTTTATAAATTATAATTAGATTAATGTGGCGATTCGCTTATAAATTAACAATTGACACTTGGTCGCCATAGTCACTTTGTGATAATGTATATTTTGCAATGTTATACTAAATTTGATAATAATTCTAATCATTCAAACATAGTGTATAATAATATTAAAATCTGAATGTAAATAGAACTGTTAAATGTTAAAACTGTAAAACATAAAAACTGGTAAAAAGGACATAAGACATGGAGTAATCTAATTCACAAATCCGACTTGTGAAATATAACTATCGATCCGTGAAAAAAAATATATTTAATATGTAACTGAAAACTATTTGAACCCTTGGAAAAATTATTTAATATGTAAAACTTATTTTACAGCCAAAAAAGTTATTCACTCTTGACAAACTATCTAACATCTAATATATAATAAAAACCGTTCAATTCGTAAATAAATTCACCCCGTGAAAAAAAAACAAATTCAACGGAAAAAAGTATTTAACTTATAAATCAAAATTCTTCAACCCGTAAAAGAATATTACTAAACCCACCAAAGAAAATTATTATACCCGTGAAAACCATCATTCAAACAGTAAAACATTATCCAACATGTGTCAAAAAGTTATTATGTGAAATAGATATATTCAACCCTTGAAAACATTATTTAGCATGTAATACTTATTTTACACGTCAATTAGTTATTCACTCTTGACCAATTATCTAACATCTAATATATAATAGAAACAGTTCAATTCGTAAATAAATTCACCCCGTGAATAAAAAAAATTGAACGGAAAAAACATTATTTAACTTGTAAATTAAAATTGTTCAACCCGAAAAAGGATATTACTAAACCCACAAAATAAAGTTATTATACCCGTGAAAACAATAATTCAAACAGTACAACATTATCCAACATGTGTCAAACAAATCATTATGTGAAATAAACATATTCAACCCGTAAAAAAATTATTTGATCTCTAAAACTTATTTTACACGCCAAAAACGTTATTCACTCTTGACAAAATTATCTAACATCTAATATATAATGGAAACCAATCAATTCGTAAATAAATTCACCCCGTGAAAAAAAAAAAATATTCAACGCAAAAAGCTTATTTAACTTGTAAATTCAAAGTATTCAACCCGTAAAAGGATATTACTGAACTCATAAAAGAAAGTTATTATACTCATAAAAAAAAACTATTCAAACATTGAAACATTATCCAACATGTGTCAAAAAAGTCATTATGTGAAATAAACATATTCAACCCATAAAAAATATATTTAATTTGTAAAATTTATTTTAAACACCAAAAAGGTTTTTCATTCTTGACAAATTATCTAACATCTAATATATAATAGAAATCATTCAATTCGAAAATAAATTCACCCCATAAAAGAAACAAATTCAACAAATTTTTTTTGTTTAACTTGTAAAAGAAAACTATTCAACCCGTATAACTTATTCAACTTGTAAATTACAATTATTTAACCCGTAAAAGGATATTACTAACTAACAAAAGAAAGTTATTATACCCGTAAAAACAATTAATCAATCAGTAAAACATTATCCAACAGGTGTCAAAAATTAACCCGCACAATGTAATCTGTAATCTATTAAATCTTTCACATACTATCTAATTATTCTGTAATCTATTAAATCTTTCAAAAAATGAAATCATATTAATTTATATATCTATTTTTTAAAATGATAAGATTTCAGTTTTCTTTCAATATTAAAAATAAATTGAAAAATGATACTCAAAATAATCAAAATAACCGAGATAAGACAAAAACTGCGAAACTGAGTCGGTGAAGACAGATTTCCAATCACATGAATGAAATTAGTATATCTGAGAGAGTGAATTAGCTAGCTATTTAGATTTCTTACTATATGTATCACGATCCTGAATCTACCAAAGGAGTTGCCGCCAATCAATGGCTAGTTCAGTTTCACCAAACCCCGGCGGCTTGGGACGTCACCACTTCTCCGATTGTCTCTCTCTTCTCCGCCTTGTAGGTTTCATCTTTCATCTAATATCTCTCTCCAGATTCTCAATTGCGACCCGGCAAACCCTTTTTGTGCTGGTTTCAGATTAAGAACGAAGCATCGAATCTTCAATCAACAGCTAAAGACGTTTTTTCTCAACGCTCTTTTTCTCGCGTTACAGCTCCGACGTTCCTCAGGTATGTTCCTCTTCTTCTTCTCCAGAGAATGGAACAATTGTGGATTGATGCTAAGCGTTATGTGTCTGTGATTTGGTTGTAGAGATTGGGAATTTGCAGCGATTGACGCGCTATCTCGGCGCTTCTACTCCACGGAGACCTTTATTCAAAGCCCTTCGATAAGCTAATGTTTAAGCTCACGATGATGGCATTGTCGTCTTGCTCGAGCTACTCACTGTCCACCTTGAAGAAATATCTGATACTCGACATTTTCTCATCACTATGATCTGCGTCAAGAGGTTGTTCCTTTTACATCCCTCTTCTTTACAAACTCTCCATTCTCTCAATCTGGAATTTTTATTTACTTTACTGAAATTGATTACTTTTTCTGGGCAAATTTCTTCTTATCGCTTTGTCTCTGATAACGGTGGAGCTTTTCGAGCTAATTCTTCTTATCGACCCAATCTCATCTGTCACAGTCGCCTTCATTCTTCGACGCATCAGTTAAGCCTTCTCTTACTTCTAAATTTGTTTTTCTTCCACACTCGTATTCAATTAGTTCATATTATGGATCGTTAGAATGTAAAGATCTGTCAATTTGACGTTGGTCACTCTTTGTTAATTGTTTTGATAGTAGCTAATCAGAGGTATCTTTGCATTTCAACTGTAACTATTATTTAATCTTAAGTCCCAACAGTTAGACTGTTACTGAGAAAAAGCATTGTTTTTGGTAGGTTTTGAAAGAGGGATCTTCGAATTGATTGATCAGATTGTTTCTATGTATCAATTAGAAGAATGCTTCCCTGACATCAAGCAGGCAGGTTAGTATTCCGTAATTCTTGAGTAGTCTTGAGGTTGTTTTATCAATTGTGGGATTTTGTAGGAAATATTAGATGTTAAGATACTCCTGGTAAAAATCAGTAATTTCTTTGTTCATTCTAAATGACTTAAACGAATATAATATCATGATCAATGTTTGAATTATTCAGTCTAGTTTTATATAGGCTTAACTCTGAAAATTCTACAGAATAATAACCCGAGGGATAGAGTTATTGACGAACTCAACTTTGTATGAACTCCAGTAGAAAATTGTTTGGGTTAATAACCCCGTGAGTGTAGATGTATTTCTCATAAACAAACGCAAATATAAAAGTGTGCGACTTTTGATTAATGTTTCAAAGTTGGTAATGGTCTAATAATATTTAAGTTCGAAACAACTTTGTTAGAAGATAATCCATTCCTGAAAACGGAATTTATTTAAATCTCTGAAAAGACAAAAGCTAAAAGAGTGATAACAGAAGGGGATTAACATGTCTTAGACATCCAAATTCTGGAAAACTTCTTTGAAAACTGTTAGCAGTTTGCTTCCGGGGCTTCCCCTGGACGCAACTCTTGACAGTGCCTCGTAGAGCTGACTATGAGATAAAACGTTGACAAAACCTCCTATGTATGAAGATCTGTGATCTCATGCCAGCCTAAAATACAAAAACCTGAGATGTTTCTTACAACTTTGTGTTAGTTAAACTTTAATACAACAGAAATATTGGATGTTAAAGTTGTTTCTTACTTGCGCTTAATCTTGCTGATCGTTAAGTTTGTGATAATAAAAAACGAAGCAAAAAAACTAATAAAATACTGACCCCTTAGATGATTAAATTTGGAAAATCGTTTCTTTACTGTATGATTTTTAGTGTCACACTCATCTTCAAGGTTGATGTATGAGGAGCTATGATCTCTTGAGCCTGACAGATAAAATTTGATATATTTATTATACAAAAACTGTCAAAAAAGAAAATGACATAGTGCAGCTAAACTCATAATCAATACTTAGTATTGTAATGATAAAAAGATTGGGATGCAAGTAGAACAGAAACGTAACATTATACTTACCTTTAGTTAATTGGTTTGACCAAACTGTGTCTTCAGTGTCCAATTTCATAGCTGAACCTGCATTTATCTGTTTTTGTATATCTATTGTAACTGTTAAAACTCATCACAATAAATCGTTAGTATTTGATGATAAAAAAAAAGGTGAAGATGCAAATCAGATACAAAAAATTATGGTCACCTTTAGATGAATGGTTTTTGCAATTCGTGTCTTCACTTGCTTTGATAGTTTGATTATGACCTCCGTCTCTTATCTTCTGAAACTTTGATTATGATTGTCCGAAACATTTGCAGATGGTGACACTGCATAATAGACTTGAACTAATCTCTTTTTTGTTTCTTTTCCATTCAGGATTTCGCCTACAATCAAAAGCAATCAAAAATGTGATTAGTAAACATGAAATATATATAAAAGGAGAAACATTAGAAGAGGTAAAACAGAAGGAAACCTAATTCTCTTTTGCACTCACACAATGTATTTATACTGTTAAGAATGATGAGTCTTTAGGTTTTTTCCAGCAAAATTTCGAATATACGTTTTCTCTTTTTTGGTATGAATATTAATTTCGAATATACCTTTCGGTGGCAAAGATTTATTTTCGGAATCTCCACAATATTTTTGAATTTTTGATTGCGTGATTAGTTGTTGATATTGAAGAGATATTTGCCTTTTTGTTACCTGAGTTATTCATGGTGAAATTAATAGATAAATAATTTCGGGAAATCAAATTATCAAATTAGTAAAGTTCTCACTTAATTCGTAATTCTAAATATAGCAGATTTTGTGGGATATTTGTCTTCTAAAACCGAGATATGTGTGCTTTAATTAGTTTCCTATTATGAAGTTTCTGTTTGCTAATTTTTAGCCTTTTTCCTTTAAATCTTACAACTGTTTTGTTTATTTGAATTAGATTGAAGCTTGTAACGGAAAAAAGAATTTCTATTATCTTATTTACATTTCCAATTTTGGGTGACTTCGGTTAGCTGGTCGAGCGCGCGGCTGATTTGCCACAATTTGGCGAAAGTTAATCTCGTGTGCCAAAGAATGATCTAATGCCACAAGATGATGTGCAATTACTCTTTTCTCCCTCCTTCTTCCTTTTCACCTTTTACTTTTCACCTTTCTCAAATTTAATGAAAACAATAACTTAAAATAAAAAAAAGAAATCGAAAAGAATTAAAAAAGAAAAGAAAATAAAACAATCCAATTGATTGGATTTCGGAAATCGGAAATCGTGGTCGGAATTCTCGAGCTCAGCTCGCTTCTCTCACTCAAAATCTTCACTGAACTCGAAATCTTCTTCGACCTGAGCTCATCTATACCTATTCCGCCTCCTCTTTCACCTCCGTAGACAGTGGATGTTCCCTTTCGTTTGTTTGACCATTGCTGAAGCTTCAAGTCCATTGAAAGTGAGTTTCTAATTTGTTTGGTGCATGGATCCGTAAATTGGTTCATTGGGTGGTTCATTGGATATAGGCATTGCAATGGTATACATGCATTGATAGAATAGGCGGTAGATTAAGCTTTTTGAGTAATGTAGCTTGTGAATCGCAGCGAGTGAACTGTATTTGAACTAGATCGGAACCTGCAGAGATGGTACAACTGGTACGAGTGGTACAAATGGGACTTAGTTGATTAAGTGGTTCAACTGGTTCATATAGGTACAACTGCATTTTAAAAAGTAATGGTAGTAAAAGTTCAACTGGTACACGTAGTACAACTGTGAGATGTTTTGTAATTGGGAATTGATTATTTTCATTATATTTGCAGGGTAACAATGAGCATGATCATCACAAACATATTTTTCGACCACGGAGGTCATTATGCAGAAGAGGAACTGAAATGGGTTTCAAAGAATCCCACTTGCGCTATAACATTCAAGATCTCATCTTTGGAGGAGATTACGTACTCGGCGGTTGTGGATAAGATATGCAGGAAGATTGCAAGAGATGGAGCTAAGCCGCTGCTGAAATTGAGTTACATTCCAATGTCAAATAATCCTGCGAGAGAGATGTACATTTTTGATGATGAAGACCTATTTGCTTATCTAACGACAATTGATAATCTGGGATTTAGGAGGATTTTGCATGTGGAGGTAACCAAGAACACGAACAGAGCAAATCATAGGAGCGACCACCTGTCTAGAACGGATGCAGAAAGTTCATTTGGTTTGAATTACGAGGAGGAGTCGGTTCCAAATGACAGAGGTGATGGTGTCGTTACCATATTCAGAGAGCCACATGTTGAGGAGCCAGAGCCACATATTGAAGAGCCACATATCGAAGAGGTTGAGTCTGATGGTAAAGAAGAGGATGGCAACGAGAAGCGTCCAGAACCAGATAGTAAGGAAGATGGGTTAAACTTCTTTGATGAGGATTTTGAGCTTTCACGTCCTGTAGAAGAAATTAAGTTGGCTGAAGAATGGGAAGATGGTATTGGTCTTGAAATAAAACAAGAATTTCCATCAAAGGAGGCATTGCAAGATTTGGTTGACAGAGCTTCACACAAGCATTGTTTTGGTGTCCGCACTTACAAGTCTGACACTGGCCGACTTATCCTAAGGTGCACTCAGAAGAGCGGAGGCTGTAATTGGTATATATATGCTGCGAGGAAAGGTGGATCAGATTTTTTCAGTGTCCGAAAATACTGGAACAAGCACAACTGCTCACGGGCTGTTGAAAGTAGTAACAGCTCTCGAAGGAGAGGCAACCCACGATTAGTGGCATCGGTTTTGCATGAAGACTATCCAGGTCAGTTTGACACACCAGTTCCAAAAACAATTGTCGATGTTGTTCACCGTAGACTTGGTGTGAATGTGTCATACTCAACGGCTTGAGAGGAAAAAAACTACACGTTAGTGATGTTCGAGGCACTCCTGAAGAAGGCTACAAGATGTTATTTTCTTATCTGTACATGCTGGAGCAGGAAAATCCTGGAAGCAAAACGAATGTGCAACTAGATGCTTTGCACAGGTTTGAGTATCTGTTTGTTGCTTTGGGAGCGAGCATTGAAGGGTTTCAATGGATGAGAAAAGTGATAGTTGTGGATGCAACGTTTCTGAAGACTGTATATGGTGGACAGCTTGTGTTTGCCACTGCTCAAGATCCTAATCATCACCATTACCCTATTGCCTTTGGGATAATTGATAGCGAAAATCATAGTAGTTGGCCATGGTTCCTGGAAAACCTGAAAGCTGTTGTACCAGATGATCCTGAACTCGTTTTTGTTAGTGACAGACATAAAAGCATCATATATGGAGTCTCGAAGGTCTATCCATTGGCTCGCCATGTACACTGTATTTGGCATCTGGCTCAGAACGTAAAAGGGCATGCTCAGCAAGGTGTTAAGAAAGACGATGTTGTTGATAAGTTCATCAAATGCGCTCATGCTTATACTGGGTCTGAGTTTAAAAAGGAGTTTGATGAGTTCAGGAAGCTGTATCCTGCGTGTGCTAAGTTTTTGGTTGACAAGATAGATGTGGAAAGGTGGGCAAGGTGCATTTTTGAAGGAGAAAAGTATAACTTAGACACCAGCAATTCTTGCGAATCTATGAATAGTGTGTTTAGGAAAGACAGAAAGTTGTCTCTCTTACCAATGCTTGATAAGATAATAGAGAAATTCGCTTTTTGGTCCAACAAGTATAGGAACGAATGCGCTTCAATGCCAAGTACAAAGGTCGTTGTGCCTTTTGTGGAGAATGTTCTTCACGAAAGATGTCCAATAGCTAAGCGTTTAACGGTCAGGGAGGTAAATGGTCAGGAATTTCTGTTCGACGTATTTGGTTCAGATGGTGTGGTATATCTTGTGGATTTGGCGAGCAAAACTTGCGTGTGTAGAATGTTTGACATTGACAAGTACCCGTGTGTCCATGCAATTGCCGCACTCATGGCAAAGATAAAGAAGGATGGAAGAATGTCGACTCTTTCTGTATATGATTTGTGCTCCAGATACTATTTGGTTGAGACATGGGCACGAGCATATGTGAAAACGATCTATACAGTGCCCCATATCTCAACTTGGGCAATCCCGGAGGATGTTCTGAAATTGTTCGCTTATCCTCCTGATTACACAGCAAAAAGAGGAAGAAACCAAGAAGAACGACATCCATCAGAAGGAGAAAGTCGTAAAAAGAAGAAGAAGAAAACGAGTAACAAGTGTAAGCCTCATCAGGATTTGGGTGTTTTTTTTTAAACCTCCAAACGAGTAACAATTGCAATTCTGTTGTTTGGATTTGGTATTTATGTTGTTTGGATTTGAATTGGCTTGCTTTAACCGCTTGAATTTGTTTTTAATTATGTTGTATGAAGTTTGTGTGAACAATGTTGCAGTCATGTTGTCTGCAGTGTGTTACTTGAAGTTGTACTGATGGGTTCTAACAGGTTCAAGTATGTACTAATATTCAGTGTTTTTATTATCAAAATTTCGGAACAAGGTTCTACAAGGTTCAAGTAGGTTCAAGTATGTAAATAATGTGGGTTTGTATTCTAATATGGTAAAGGTTATGGAATTATGTTCGAAATGTAAGTTATGGGTTAGCTGATAAACGACTTGTTCAGAACTAGGTTCTGATATGGTTCTGCCAGGTTCCCGCGTGTATAGAGAATGTTCATTGCGTCTGTGAATGTGGACGTGTTTTGGTTTCAAGTACATTTGGTACAACTAGCTCCCATAGGTTCGACTATTCGGCTCGAATTATATACGAACGGCAAATGTTTAGTGAATATATTTATGATATGCAATGTAGAGGAGTTAATTAAGAAAAAAACATATTTATGTCTACTTATTTGATAGAAAGAACAAAAATTGAAAAAAAAAAATTATCTACTGGATAAGCATGTTAGTCATCAAGCACCCTATACAATATATGGAATATGTAGGTAATGTGTCAATGATGTGATTCAAATTAAGAAGAAAACGAGTTTTGTCTAAAATTTTGACATGATATGTTTGTAATGATAAAATAAGATGAACTATCATTGGTTCAACTTGACCATTACACATTGGTGTGGTTCTACTACAAAAACCCAAAACTCGCAGATGTTCAACTATGTCTAATTTTGGTTCGACGAATGGCATGAGTACAACTATGACCATTTTTTCCAGAATTTTGCAAATTTTTAACTTTTCCGCCGGCGGGAAAAGTAAGCGGGAATTTTTTTAATTTTAAATTTTTTTTTTTTATTTTATATTTCCGCCGCAATTTTCATATTTGGTAATACTTTAAAAGAAGGAGAAAAAGTGAAACTGAATCAGATTTTCCCCAAATTGATTTCTAGGGTTCTTATTCTCGATCTCACTCTCTCTCCTCGCTCTCTCTCTCTCGCTTAGGTTTTTCGTTTCTCTCTTCAATTCCTCTCTTCGATTCCTCTCTCTCTCTCTCATTTTCTGAGATGGGACCTCACAGTTGGGTTGCAACCTCATCGTCCTCTTCATACTCACTCGACGAAAACACCATCAGAGATGGTGAGTACGGTATGCCGAGCCACTGTTACTGCGGTGGAAGGGTCATCAGGGAAACGTCTCGCACCGAACAAGACCCTGGGAAAATATACTTCTCCTGCGAATTCCGAGCGGTTAGTTGATAATCATGTCTCCGAATTCTTTCTATTTTGGGTTCTTTTAGTGTAATTCTTTCTAGGGTTTAGGGTTCTGTTAGATTCATGGTGAATTTCGTATTTTTGATTGTAGAAACCCGGTTATCATATTCGGAAGTGGTGGGATCGTGTGATTGAAGAGGAGTTAGAAATACTTCACTCTGAATCAAGCGGGTTTCTGGGGAAGTTGAGAGTCTTCAAACTCACCACCGTGCCGGAATGGAGGAGTTAATCTCGGAGCTGAAGGACGGCGAGCTAACATTCATCATCATGGACATGCGTATTGCGGAGAAACGTATTGCCGACCTGAAGGAAGAACAAGAACAGAGCAAAGCGGAGATAACTAGGTTGGAGTTGGTGATTGGTGATTTCAACAAGAAGTACAAAGCTGTGGAAAGCACGTTTGCGATTGCTGCACTTTTCCTTCTTCTTGCTTGGTTCTTAGTTTGGTTTAAGTAACAAAAACCTTCAAATTTTCAGTTTGGTTTTAGTTGCTGCGGATGAAGACCTCTGTTTTTCAAACTATTTAAGAGGTCTTCTTAAGTTGTGTTTAAGATTTGTGTAAACTTTGTTTGCAAACTATGTCTTTTAATTATGTTTTAATTATGTCTTTTAGTTATGTTTTAACTATGTTTGCAAACTATGTCTTTTAATTATGTCCTTTCATTATGTCTTTGCAACTCATGTCAACAAAAATCAAAACATTACAAGTCAAACAAGAAGTCAAGTTAAAACTTAAATCATCTTTACCATCACAGTCAAGTTGCAAACACACTTAAACCATCCAAAAACACAGTCGAACCTATGCAAACACAGTTGTACCTATGCAAATTGTTCCATAGTATTACCATCCAAAAACACAGTCGAACCTATGCAAACACAGTTGTACCAAACCAAATTGTCATAGTATTACCATCCACACAGTCGAACCTATGCAAACACAGTTGTACCAAACAAATTGTTCCATAGTATTACCAAAAAACAGTTGTACCTATGCAAACATAGTTGTGCAGAACTCAAAAACAAAATAGTACACAATCCAAAGTCATAAAACATAGAGATAGTACACAATACATAACTTCCTAAACACAGAGCCGTCTTCATCCTTGTTTCCTACGTGTGTTGTACGGTCTCTTTGCACCTCCTTTCCCTTTTCCACTTGTCTTGCTTTTTCTTTTTCTATTTGCCTGACCAGCCACATATGGAGATGAGAGAATAGCTGAAGGTTTGATTGTCCTCTTCTCTTTCTCTGCTGGAGTTTCTTTTCTTCTCTTCTTTGGCGGTTCTGCTACTTGCTCCTCCTCCTCCTCCGCCTCCTCCTCCTCCTCCTCCTCCTCCTCCGCCTCCTCCTCCTCCTCCTCCTCCTCCGCCTCCTCCTCCGCCTCACTTATATCCCCTGCTACAATCTTCTCGGCCGGAGTCCAAAAGCAGAACCTAGAGGAAAACTACTTGCTCCGCTTCTATCATGAGCCTTCTTGGTTCTTTGCTCATTCACATAACATTCAACCATATCAAGTCTCTCATCTAAGTCCCCAACCATTGCCTTAATCTCTGAGGTAACATCATCCATCTTATCCTCCAACTTCTTTGTTGCTTCCTCGATCAAAGCTTTCAACGTTTCCATCATTCCCTGAACTGATCCACCGTTGTCAGGTGCCTGCATTGGTACTTCATTTGCAAACTCGGTGATACCTCTGCCGGCCAAGTCAATCTTGTACAGAGACTCCCACCATATCTTCTTCTTCTGGACGATTAGATGTCTCTCCAAAGGTCGACTAAATGATCCACGGAGCCAATCCCATCATCACAACTAGGGTCTATGATGCGCTCCATAAGGGTTTCCTCCTCTGAGGTTGGTTCCAAGATGCTTATGATATCCTGCGATTATGAACACATTAAATACACTCATGATAAGCTTGCTCAATTAAGATAAAATAAAGTACACTATATGATGACAAATACTCACCCTATTGCTGCCAATTGCTTCGTTTATCTCGGACAGTGGATAACCTTTCATGTAAGTCGCTTTGAAATTGTGCTTGCACAACCTTGGACAGTCGCTCTCTGCATGAACAGGTTCTCGAAAGGTTCGAGCAAGCGCAGGAATGCACTCATACGCAAAAGCCTGTACATAGAGAGTACTACAATATCACGACCCTATCCACGTAAATTTAAGGAAAATAATTAAAAGAATTACCTCAATAGGAAGAATGTATCCAGAAAAGGTCCATGAATCCTTCTCGTTGACGACGCCTCCCTTGAACTTCTTCGCTACTTTCTTAACTTCATCTACCAAATCATCAAAGGTCAAACGGCCCCAAGGGAATTTTTCACACAAGTCCAAATCATCCACGACTTTGAGAAAGAATGGCTCTATGTTTCCTTTGTATTTGGACTTCGCTTTCAAGACATTGGTTAAGAAATATAGCGCAGCCATCTTCTTCTTGTTAACAGCGCTCTTCACTTTCCCTAGCTTCTTCTTCACATCTGCTATGGTAATATTGGTCCTTCTCTTGAACCACTTTTCAACAAACTTGAAATCGCCGGCTTCCTTGTCCTTCAGCTCCCCATAGTTGCTAGGGTAGTCATGACAATCCAATCCACTCAGCAGCGCATGCTCCTTAATGGAGTACCTAATAGGTACTCCATTAACCACAAACCATAATTCTCTGTCACTATCAGTACAAGCTAGGTGCAGAAGAAGCATCCAAAATCCTTTTGATTTACGGTTTTCCACCAGAGGCATATGAAAGATATGCTTAAACTGAGGATGACTAGAAAACCATTCCAACGCCTGAGGAATTTCTTGATGTCCTTGACCGTATCATTCACATAACACCTCGATGATATCCTACAACTCTTTCTATACTGATCTGGACGAAAGTAAAACTTCTCTGGTGGCAGTGGTATATATTCATCATCAACCTGCCGCCAAGTCAAACAATGTAGTGTTACTAATTATACTTTTACCCGAACCTACTCGAACTTACTCGAACTTGCATTCAAACCATTTGCGGAATTGAATTTCTAAAAATCTACATTACCATGACCGGTGCAAAAGAAGAGACATGTGCATCTGAAGGCATTGCTTCAGCGTCTTCTGTTTGTTCCGGTTGAAGTGGTTCTTCCGGTGGGGTTTGATCCGGTTGAGGAATTTCTTCCTGCTGTTGTGGAGATTGTCGATTTTCCTCGCCATCATTGTCATCATTATACTCCTCATCCTGCAGGTTCAAAAAAATTTAAAACAAACCAATGTGATTTTACTTCGCAATAACATTAATCACAAGATACTACATAGTTGAACTTAGTTGAACTTAGTTGAACTTAGTCGAACATCAATCCCATAGATACTACATAATCAATCATCTCATTATCAAACTCTTAATCCAATTAATCATAATAAACAAGATAATACCTTGTTCTCTTCGTCACCAGCAATTCCTCGTCCGTCCTTTCTTCTTCTTCATCTTTCTCTTCTTCGTGCTCTTCTTCTTTTTCCGATTCATCTTCTTTTTCCGATTCAACTCCTTCTGAGCTCATCTTCTCCTCAGTTTGGGCTTCTTTTTCTTTGGGCATTGCTTCTCCGGTTTCCGCCTCTCCTGTCACCACCGTCTCCTCTGTCGGCGGAGATTCGTCGGTCGGTTCCGCTGTTTGCGAAGGATTTGGCACTTCCCCCGCTTTGTCGGATTCGACAGTTCTTTTGTCGGAACCGCCCCTTCTGTCGAGTTGACGGTTCCGCCACCGGTTCGTTGGTTCCGCACGGGTTCGTTGTTCCGCCGCTTCTGTCGACTTCGGCGCCGGTTCCGTCGCCTGTTGACTTCGTCGGTTCCGGAACGAAAGGAACAGATCCTTCTGTCGAGTTCGACGGTTCTGCCGCCGGGTTCGTTGGTTCCGCCGCTTCTGTCGACTTCGGCGGTTCCATCGTCACTTTGTTGCTTCTCAACAACACCATTGCAAGATTCACGATAGTTCTTCACTCCTTCCCGTTACGAGATTCTTCAGTCGATTTCGAATTGTGTGATTTCAAATTGTGATTTAAATTTTTTACTTGCAAAACGGCGATACAGTTAATTTAGGGATTTGGGGTTAAAATCCGATTAAACTGGGTCGGGTTTACGGTTTTCGGGTAATACCCTGGTTGGATTCGTAAATACTTTAACTTTCATCCGGTTTTAATGTCTTTTACTTGTCTTTTGATTTAAAAAAAATGGAAAAGAAATTAATTTTTTATTTATGGCATTTTGGCAACCGGTTCACTGATTTGTGGCATCTCAGAATTTTTTCCGTTACACTTCAACCCAGATTTTCTCGGTTCAATTTAAGTTATTTAAGGTCCGCGTGTTTTTTTTCTGGGCGGGTCGGGTTTTTTTCTGTTGAATTGAGTCAACTCACTTAACTCGGTATTTTCAATCCGGAATTGCCCCTCTTAAACCTGTTTCCAAACACTTTTTACTCATAATCTCAATGGCATTTTTCGTAATAAAAGGGTTTTTTCGGGTATCTCTAAAAATGTACGTCTAAAATAATATATTAGAGATGTTTTTTTTTTCAGGAAGATTTACTTGAATAGAATTCCAATTTGTAACTGGTAACTAAAATAATTTTCGTGTCAATTACTATTGATTATCAAAATTCGGATATTTTATCATTCACAATCTCACATTATCCACTGTATTGCTGTTCTGGGAGACAAATTTATTTTACATGACATATTGGCTTAATACTTGGCTCCTGAGTATGCCATGAACACCAACATATATAATAATATAAACACACAATCACAGAGACAGAGGTTATGGTCGTCGATTACACATATTAAAAGAATGGCTTAGTACCACAAGAACACTTTACCAGCAACTCATTTCTCCGTTTGATCATAAAGGGTTTCTTCTGAACAATACTAAAAGCGTTTTCATAGCTGATTTAGGCTGTTTTCAGGGTTTGAAAATAAGGTATAGTTTCGATTCCTAATACATGAAGACTATTGCTTAAGCACTCATCACTTAAGGCAGCCATATACCAAGAGTCTCAAACTAGACTGAATATATAATAGTGAGCTCTGAAAAACAGAGTCGAATTAGGGTAGGCGCAATGAAACACAAGTCATAATAACTAGAGTCTCAAACTAGACTAAATAGCGTTAACTAACATAATCAGTTTTTGTAGCTAAAACCCTATACAATATCAGAGACTAGATGAAGACACCTTCTCTTTCCCTTTCCCTTTCACGTTCCATGCAAGCAAACTGATTTCAGAGACCTCCTCTTCAGTAATTTCTTCACAAGTTTGCTAGCCCTGCTCATCAAATTTCATGCCAATCTCTGATATGATGCTCATTAGATCTGGGGGGTCTAATGCTCATCTGATTCGCCAGCACACCAAAAGAAATGATGTGGAAACAAGTTCAGTGAATGGTTTCTGATTCTTTGTAAACCAACTAAGTAACAGCCAAAATGCTCACAACATACTCACAAAATGCTAACAAAATGCTCACAACATACTAAAAAAAATGCTCAGAAAATGCTCACTTCGACACTTTTCACAAAATTAAGAAAATAGTTCAATAAGCTTACCAAGAACTTATAATGGTCAATTTTCACAAAATTGACCTTATCAAGTATAAAAAGTCCTTGTTTGATTAATCGTTGATGATTCATCATTCATTATATGATATTCTACAATTTTTCCTTGTTCCACAATATAATATGTTTTAGAATATTTAAGGTACCTTTTGCTAATTAATACTAACTATTAGAAATTTCAAAACATATTAACTAAAAACATTTGAATAGTTGAATTATGATTGGTTAAAAGCTATTAAAAAGTGGTTTGTGTGAAAAAAAATAATTACACATTAAATGTTTCTTAATTTGTGTGAAAAACCTCAAACATCTTTTATTGCATAACAGAGGGAGTACAAAATACAAAATATTTAGTCTTGGGCACATTTTTCTTAAAAAAATCTCAAGTAACTTGTACACAAACTAATGAATTACGTATAATTTCATAATCTAATAAGTATATGTACACAATATTTCGTCTAATAGATAGAAAGAAATAGAAATTCAATTGTTCAATATTACCAATTTTTTACTATTAACATTCTATAATATTTACTGTTTTTATTTATTTAATTAGGGGAAAAATGGATAAATCTACACTATATAAAAGTTGAGACTATATGCCTATGAGAACCTCCACATAGGATTTAAAAACGCGATCTGATCGGTTCATGTAAGCATTTCCAAAATTAAGAAAGTTTCCGAATTTTAAATGATCAATAGTATCATTCCACATCATCATATAAAATTAAGAAATTTTTAAAATTTTAAACAATGAATAATATTAATCTATATCATCATCTAAAATTAGCTATATTTGTAAATTAGTTAATTTATTTTTATGTTTCAAGAAAATTAATTAATTTAACTCATTTAAATTAGAAACTCCACAAGTCCAAAGTAATTAAATTAATATTTATTAATATACAAGTTCAGGCTAAATGTCTCTAAATGTGTCAACATAGGATTATAATACTGTATCTTATTGGTCCACATAAACATTTACATAATTCAGAATTTTTTCTAATTTTAAACAACCAATAGTATTAATATATAATTTTTTAAAATTTAAACAACCAGTATTATTAATCTATATATCATCTAAAATTTGCTATATTTTTTAATTTGTTAATTTCTTTTATGTTTCAATAAAATTAATTAATATAACGGTTTAAATTAGATACTTCACTAGTCTAACGTAATTGAAATAATATTTTATTTATTTTTGTTTAAAATATAATTTACTAGATTTTAAAAATTATATAAAAACATTTGTATAACTACAATATTAGTTATAAATAATTAAATAGACCTTAATGTTAATTCTCTTTGACCGAACTTAAGTTCTTACAAATAAAGTGTAAATTATACCTTAATAAATGAAGAATTTTTATAAGCAAACAAAGCAACGTTGCAAGAGAGTCGGTCTCAACATTAAATAATCTATGAATAAAAAAGGGGATAGAAACAAAAATACATAATGTCGTGTAGAAGACATATGAGTTCATTTGCAATTTCTTTTGAGATGATGAGAGAGATCAAGATTTGGGAGCTAAACAAAAAATTCAAGATAACAATAGCATACTAAATAGTAATACTTTTTGGCCAAAAAAGTAAATAGTTTGTTTGGATTACTATGGAGTAGAATAATTCAAAGGAGATTTAATAGTCCAGTTCATACTATAGCTTTTCGAGAAAACATTCCACCCTACATCAATAAATCAATAGTTCATATTCGGGAGGATATTGGAGATCAGACGGAAAGGGAGAGAAGAGGTTGATGTCTTAACTTAGCTTTGGGTATCATTTCATTAATGGGCATAATTCTAAATCAGATCCTTAAAGAAGATTTCATCTTTATGTAAATAATGATATTCAAATTAGAGAAGATCACGAGCCTTCAAAAAATGCCAAAATATATAAGAATAAAAAAGTATATACAATAAAATTATTAGGGGCATCATTTTTCCTACATCTTCAAAGAGTTCCCGAGAAAGGTGTGAGTTTGCCATAAATTTATTGAGAAGCATGACTGAATCATACACTATAGAAGGACATATGAAGAAGATATGGAAACCGTCTCTTTGATGATCACAATAATTGCAAGAGATGTCTGCATCGAGTCCATGAGCAGTGAGAGTTTGACCAGTCAAGACAAAGCTTTTCCCATCAAATGCAAGAGAAAATATTTGATTTTTGGTGTAGTATAAACTTACCTGACATTATTTTTACGTAAGGAATTGAAGTTATTTCAAATAAACATTGTGTTAGATACAAATATTGTTGACATCTAATTTTAAGAATTTCACTATACATATTTAAAAATAATTTTCTGTTTAGAAATTACCAACACTTCAAAATAGCTGATAAATTAACATTACATTTTACAAAACATATATATATATATATATATAATTGACCATACATATATTAGAAGGTGTCCACATAGGATTGAAGAAACTTAATTTGATTGTTCCACATAAGTATTTACATGATTAAGAAAAGTTATAATTTTTAAATATGTAAGAGATAAAGAAATTAAGTATATAGAATTTTTAAACAACCAATAGAAAACTAATTAATTATTTTCCTTTTTATATTTCAGAATAGTTTATTAATTAGGGGTATTATTCAATTATGTATTTGAAATCAATTATATAGGTTTTATAATCCTTCAGATTTTAAAAATCAATATCAGTTGATTCTAAAATCTCTACAATATCTTGTGGATTCTGTTTTTTATAACTTACTCATAGAACTCCATTGAAATTCATTTCAAATGACTCAGTAAATAAAGATTTTAAAAGTCATTTACTTTTGAATAACACTGAATTTTAAAATTGGATTTGAAATCTTGATTGAATAACATTGGATTTAAAAAACGAATTTGAAATCTTGATTGAATAACACTGGATTGTAACTCAATTTCAGTTCATTTCAAATATAATATCCAATAATACTTTAGAAAATGAAGAAATTATATGTTCAAATTACAAAAAAAAAAAAAAAAAAAAAAAAAACTGCATGTAAGAATAATTTGAAAAGGATATAATCCAAATAGTATGTGGAAATAAAGATTGGAAGAATAGTTAACTTTAAAATATTCTCTTTTTTTTTTTGAACAACCTTTAAAATGTTCTCTATATAACAAAGGAGTGTGGTTTTTTTTCAACCCGAAAGTACTCTCTGTTTTTGCTTGGTTAGCAATCTAGCACCGTCTTTCATTTACAGCTGACACCACGACGGTATCAAGCTGTTTCTTGGAATCAGTGTTGTGTCCTTTTTAAGCTACAGATTGAGCATTTGTTTTCCATCTTACTATCTAAAGGTTTTATCAATGGAAACAGAAGCATCATCAATCTCTAGCAGCTGCGAGGAAGCCGATCTTGATCTTTTGAAATGTCGAGCACCGTGGAAGATGTGACTGCATCGGGTCGGGTCCGAGTTGACCCGTTAAATAGCATGAGTGGCGAGACATCGAAACATTGTACATGACGACCTTGAATGATAACCGAGGCGACGATTACGCCGGACAAGAGTCGCAGCTCCGGGAAGCTAGTTGGACGAATTGGTCTTTCCTTACGTCTTTGGCTGGGTTAGTGATCAAGTCAATCAAATTTCCTCCTGGTTTCTATCATTGCATGGTTAATACTCGGCTGCTTGAGCTTCGTTTCCGATCCTTATCGAACAATGAGGCGTGGTAGACGCTTTCTACTATCGAGGATTGTAGAGCTATGCGATTTAGGGTTAAAAGATGATACGCCAGCGTTGGAGGCTTTGCGCAGGTTAGCACGTGGTATGTTTTGGGCTGTTTATGTAGGCATCGTCTTGTTTGCCTTGTTGGTTTGTGCTTTCTTGATCAGTGGTTTGTTGATTAGCCATTTGGCTCATGAACCACTTGTAGTCAAAGAGAGCTTGAATTTCGATTACACCAACAACAGTCCTGAAGCATATGTGCCTATAACCTCGTACAAGAACAGTCATATAAATCACAAGACAGAGATCATTGTCTCGGTGACATTGCCTGAGTCCAAGTACAATAGAAACCTCGGAGTGTTTCAGGTCCGGGTGGATTTCTTATCCGAGAGCGGTCAAATCCTTACTAGCTCAAGGCGGCAGTGTATGGTGAGATTCAGAAGCGAGCCTATCCGTCTTGTCCAGACATTCCTGAAGATTGCTCCGCTTGTCACTGGCTATGTCTCTGAAATCCAAACCTTGAACTTGAAGCTCAAAGGCGACATTGTTCCCACTGCTTGCTTGAAGATAATGATTGAACAACGAGCAGAATTCGAATTCCGTGCTGGAGAAGGTATACCGGAGATTTACGATGCTTCTCTGTTGCTCGAATCCCAACGTCCTTTCTTAAGGAGGATCATATGGAACTGGAGGAGAACTTTGTTCGTCTGGATCAGCATGAGTTTGTTTATTACGGAACTGCTTTTCGTCTTAGTTTTCTTCAGATCTGTGATCATCCCAAGAACAGGTCAGATAGCACAATAAAGAGATACAACAACTTTCATTAATATTAAATCTGATCTAGACCAGGCAGGAAGAAGATGTTGAATCTATAGTTATTGTAACGCTAAGTACACTTACTTTGTGTAAACTTACTTTCTCCACATGTGCTCTCAAAGTCGCATTGTCCGTATAGACTTTTATGCTATTTCTTTAAGTGTAAACTAAGTGATCGTCCCCCGTCTTGCAGGGGAATAAATTTGGTTTTTAAATTTACTAGGTTTTGGAAATTAACTATCAAAATTTCTAAAAGGTTCCTACAAATTCCCACAGAAGAGTACAGAAATAGGCAAATATTCTTTACTAAAATTAAATAAATTATTAATGAGGTAAAATTATGGAATAGATGCAAAAATGATCTATGAATTGAAGTTAAAATTAAATGTAATTCACATTTTTCCGCTTTCAGTTGCTTTATTGTAATTTAATAAAATTTATAATCGGATAAACGAATACAAGAAGGAAGAAAACACTATATTATTTTTGATGTACATTAAAAAAATTGAACATCCATTAGGATTTGATAATTTAAAATTTTTTAATGTATTAAATAAAATTATTAACACAAATCGCGCGGATCTGTTAATTTGACAACGTGTATAAATAATTTACAAGAAGGAGATGACTAACCAGAGGTAAGGAGAAGAGCAAAGAAGAAGATAGTAAACATGAAAGAGCTTTTCATGTTTGCAAATAAATAAACAAAATTTGCGTGTGTGTGTTATTCCATTGATCTCGATGTACCAAAATCTAGGGTAAGAGTATGATTTCAATAAAGAAATTTAATATTTGACTAACTTAAAACTAGGAAGACAAATCAAATTTTCATAGAAATTTACTTAACAATAGATTTCGGAGTAACAATTTTGACATATTTTACAATTTTTGTTATAAGGCGTCCTAATTTACATGGTTAGAAGTTCCAAAACGAGAATTATAAACTAAATTGATGGAGATTTTATGAAGTTAAAAAAATATAAAAAACGAGAATTGAAAATTAAATTGATGGAGATTTCATGAATTTAAAAAAAAAAAAAAGTTAAAAATAACTGGGCTTTTAAAGTCTATTTGGGTTTCGTTTTCTGCTGACAGGCCTAATATAACTCTTCCCCTCATTTCACTTAATCCCAAGTAAATAGATTTAGCCCATCCTCATTATCGTCGTCGCTTTACAGAACACGAAACGATTTTTCTTCCTCTTGTATCATCTTCTTCTTAGCTTCGTTACAGAACACCAACCGATTGTTCTTCCTCTTATTCCTGCGGGTTCTCATCTGCAGTGGCCACTGAATGTAGTGAATTTATGGCTGCTTCGGCTGCACCTCTTTTTCTTCTTCACTATAACTCCGCCACTCCTTTTCCCTCTACGATAATCACACAGTCTAGAGAGATCTCTCTCTTTCCCATCACCGCCTCTGATCTCTTCCTCCATTATCGCCGATTCAGGTATCTACATCTCTTTTGATTTCTCGCAATCTGTCCACTATGAAATTGAAAGTTTTTAGATTCCTTTTTTTCTCTGATGAAGTTTAAGTTGCTGATGTGAATGAGGCCCCAAAATCTCTTAAACACGTCGTCCTCTCCAGTCTCCACTTCGCATTTTCAGATCTTCTATATTTCCAGCTTCAAACCTACATCACTAGAATGTTTACTTTTTCCATTGGCTTTTGCTGTTTCTTTTCTATACAACTGAAAATTCGTTGTTTTTGTTGTGGTTAGCGTCTCACGACCATTCGATGGTTTCTCGGAATTTAGTACTCCTAGAAGGTGACGTCACTTTCTTACTCTCTCGATGTAACATCAAGGCTATGAGCTCTACAGGTGAATAATTGTGTGTAATGTTCTCATTGTCGTTCTTTTGAAAAAATGAGAATTCTTCGACTTACCTGACAGCCAACTATCATCCCACTATTAGTGATTTCTGACCGTGAACTTTAATTTATTAGTATATATATCACATATAAAAGAGCCTAATCAAGATAAACGGCTAAATTTTTGTTTCATCTTCTTCAGGCATGGTCGTTTAAGTGAATTGGGTAATGGAATCGTCGAAGGTATGTTTTCTCAAGGCGTTCCTGATTTTTGAGGCCAAAGCTGGTTCTGATATTTATGGTGTTCTTGGTTTGAATTCTTCAGTTTTTTTTTTTGTTTTTTATATTGTGCAATGACTTAGATACTGTTGGGTCAAGCTTAGAGAACAAGGGATGGTAACTGTTGTGCTGTTTCGTGGAAGTTTACCTTTTTGCTAATTTGTTTGATTGCCACTGAACCAGGCACCTAATTAGTGTTATTTAGTTTGAATATATTTTGGTTTGGTCTAACCTTGCTAATTTAGTCTCAACACCTTAATCTGAAGTTAAATGGCTTTTGACTTGGATATGTCTTGGGAGCTGTTATCAAGCTTTTTCGTTTGGTAGAATCACCTGATGACTATATTGTCGAAGATTGCAAAGTCTTTTCTGTCTTTCAAGGAACATTTTTCCAAGCCAAGCAACAATTGTGACGATATATTTTCCTTATTTTTCTATGCTGACTTTAGACAGTTCTTTTATGTGTACATGTTGCAGTGAAACTATTCAGGTGACATTACCGTGAACGGTTTAGGAAAACGTGAACCAATCCAAGCCCAAAAATAATACATTACAATCCACCATCGTAAGTTTTCATTCAATATCTTGATATGTTCAGCCTCATGATATTTACCTCCTCCAATCATGCTTTCTTTGTCCCAACCATGTATTTTCTTTTTTCTTCTCTAGATGCTTCACCTTTTGTTTCAAACCACTATATATATACCTTGCACATTGCTTAATATGCTGTTTTTTCTTCCCAATCTCTGTATACTTCGCACTTGAAAACTGATTACAGCTTAAGCTTTCTCAAGTTATAGTTGAATTTAAATGTTTACCATTTAGCGGCGTTTAGCTAAAACAAGAGATGAATTTTAACTGATCTTCCTACTTTCACATACAGGGCTTTTTGGTTTAATCAAGGCTTTGAGTTACGCCATTTTCCAGTTGATTCATTTTGTAAAGTTGCTTTGTCTTGGCAACTGCTGGATTGGAGGTTCAATGAACAAGGAGATCAAGAGAAAATATATTTTATTTTATTTTATTTTTTAATAGCATGTCATTCACTTATCTTATACTCTCCTTGCTATATGTGTAGTTGTTAGCTTGGCACTGATTGTTATGTCTAGTGTTTTTTTGTTTTGTTTTTAGGGTATGAATGTTAGTTGTTATGTGTATTTCTTAGGTTTATTCCTCTACCAATGGATCATAATGCAATATATCATTCTGGTACTTTACCTTGACACAAAAACATTATTTTATTTGATGCAGAGAACATTATAGGGGTTAGTGAAGGACACAAAATATAAACTGATGGTTTAATCTTACATTGAATAGTTTAAACGGAATACCTTACTATCTGTCTCTCTGTAAGAATCGTCTGTGATTTTGATGGACAACTTATTGACAGTGTAAATTAGCTTAGATAATACATTGGTGTATCTTAAATCTCATAAACATTGTGTGCATCATGACGAACAATGTTCTTGGCTTAAGACTGTGGAAGAGAATCTTCTAGACTTACGTACCATGGGTTGATGTTGTTAAACCGTTCCCAAAAAGATTTAACAAGCTTGACTACATAATTTCACCTCGGAGAAGAGAAAGAAAGGGAGTACGAGATAGTATAGGCACATGTTCGATTGTTCGACACCAAACAAAAAAAAACAAGTAGAGGCACCTTGCTCATAAAATTAGTTTCAAGCATTTGGCAAAAAAATACTCTAAAAGGTGAGTTCTCAATGTTGTCTTCTTCACTTCTTGCATTTCGGAATTTGATAGGGCGGATATATACAAGTTTCTCTAGAATACTAAGTCTCCAAGATGAGTGATTTCACAAGGAAGATGAGTGATTTCACAAGGATTCGTGCTAATTCACTGGGAAGGCGAACACATTGACATAAAGTATAAGTATCACAAAAATTAAAAAATACATTGATGTCCACAACTATATTTTATTTACTTTACTGAAAGAGATAGGCGTAGAAAACAAAATTCGTTCTCCATGTTGTTGTTGGAAAACCAAATCGGCTTGCTGATGTTTGACACCAACTCTGGTCATGATCCATGTATATGTTATCACCCACTATTTGAGAATGACCAATAGGTGCCAAAGCAAGCTGTAGACACTTAAATCAATAAATCAATGCAGAACTTGGGAGGATTGTGTCTGAAATGGAAAGAGATTCAAATGCAAAACAGATGGTGATGGTGATCGCTGGGGACATACATTATAGGCCCAAGATATTGAGATTGAGAAACCTGGGTTGCAAGATATTCATTGCAAAACCTGACAAGAATCGGACAGCAAGCTAATGCGACATCTATGTCACTCATGTGACTTTGAGATGCTCTTAGCTGCTAAACCAAATTGGTTCGACTATGAGGTGAGGTTTGTAAGCATTTTGAATGTTTCCACTTTCCAGTTCTGTTTTGTTCTTAAAGTCTTGATCACATTTGTTGGAACAGGTTCACGCTTGCAGGAGGGCACATCTTAAGAAGACCAGATGATGAGCCAATAAGCAGTACAAGTCGAAGGTATGGAAGGGGAAAGTCCAAACAGAGCAATCAGAGAGATATTCCAAAGCCATGGGACTGAAGAAAATCGGAAAACATTTTGGCAGAGGATTGAAGAAAGGGTTGGTGTTTCCTGGGACAGACATAAAGGAAGACAATTGAGGTAAATATGGTGCAAAGATCTGTCTTTAACAATCTGCATCACTGATCTTTTGAATTGGTTTTAACTTTTAATGATATGCTTTCAACATATCACCACTGGAGCTGAGTAGCCGTGTATCTCATATGCCATGGAGACGGAAGAAGAAGAAGAAACAAGATGGATAATTGAATTAGTTGTTTCTTTTAGTTTTCTTTATTGCAGACTTGTTTCTCTGTCTGTAGAGATTCAAGGACATTGTCTAATACTACAAACGGTTTACCAAACAACTCAATTCTCCATTTGATCAAAAAGGGTTTCTTCTGAACAATACTAAAAACGTTTTCAAAGCTGATTTAGGCTGTTTTCAGGTTTTGTAAATGATGGTAGTTTCTCAGAGCTTTCCGGATGAGATTCCTAAGACATGACTATTGCTTAAGCACTCATCTCTTGTCCCTTGTCTGAATCTCGCCACATAAAAACCTCAAGCAATGTCTTATTCATTCACAATTCACATACACTACTCTACACACGAATCTTGATGAGAACTCCCAGTAAACTAGCAAAAGTTCATTCTGATCCAGTTCCATGTTTCAGCCTAAGCCAGAAACAGACACTATACAAGCCAAAAGATTACATTCAAACCGATTTTCAGCAAACTGATCTCTTCTACAAATATGTTCAAAAGGTTACTAGGCTAATATTGTGTTCTACTGATAGATTCATTAGAGTCAAAATTAATTTTATTGATGGGACCTGAAATCTGCAGATGTAGCAGTCATCTGAACTTTTGAAAGAAGTTCAGATGATAAACAGAGTCGACTTAGGGAAGGCGTAATGAAACACACGAGTCCTCAACATAAAGCTTGGCTAAACCGAAATCTGACATCTTAGGACTCAGATTCTTGTCCAGCAAGATTTTTGCAGCGTTTATGTCTCTGTGGAGAATCTCCAGCCTCGTTCTTCATGGATATAAGTCTGAGGGAGGGAAAAAACAGAGTTGTAAGTATTATAGGCACATAAGAAAATAGCTCAAGGATTACACTAACAAGTTTAGAGAATAGTTTCTGATTTATTACTAGTACAAGTATGCACTAAATCAGCTAAAAACCAGGTAATCAAAGAAATTATGAGGAAAATTCTATTCTCTTTCAAGAAGACACTAAAATTCGCCAGTAAACCAATAAGTCACCAAAAGCAATAATGTGGGAACAATCAACTAACTAACAGCCAAGTGAAGTGATCAAAGAAGTTATAAGGAAACAAACTGGTTTAGTGTTTATTCTGTTTCATGTAGACACTAAATAGCCAGAGAACCAAGTCACCAAACGCAATTATGAGGAAACAGCTTCAGAGAATGGTTTCTACTCTCTTCCTAGTTCAAGATCACACTAAACCAGCCAGGTAGAAAGCAGCTCAAGAAATCAAGAGGGAAAAAAACTTGTTTCTGGCTTTATTCCATATCCTTCAAGAGGAAAACAAACAAACAAGAACACAGCCACCAACTAACTAATCAAATAAACTATGAGGAAACGATCTTGTTTCTGCTTTATTCTGTTAGGTCCCAAATTAGGACAAAACTAATGATGATCAAGAACAACAAAGAACAAGAACACTTTGGTTCTTAAGACACAAGTTACTTCGATATTTTCTTCATGTCTCATTAGTCGATTGATGATGTCTTAAATACAAAGGAAAGAAATAAACAAACTGTCCTACAACTATCACACGTGAGTTAGTGGGATCACAATCCCTTTAGTTTAGGAATAACCGTTTACATGGTTATGATCTCACCATATTCCACTTTAGTTTTTGGTGTTAGCCACGTTTATCGGCCATTGTTCATTGATTAACAAGAAGATTATAGATCAAACATAAGATAAGAGTCTCTAGTATGTTTGTTAGATTTGCAAAAAGCTTTTTATGAGTAAACGATCTTTTATTATTATCATGAAACACATTAGGAGTTCTTGAAGCACTTGTGCTACATATGGAGAGCCTGAAAAAATGCCGATCACTGAAGATACTCCACAGGTGAATAACCTTAATATATACAATACAGATTTCGTTTTTTCACACTTTTTTCTAACCGAAAATGTCGGATTTTAGGTCCCGATCAATCCTTAAGGAAAAGCTAAAAAGATGGTAGAGGATATGATCTTGAATTTTTCCAAGAACTCTGACATGGCGGTTATGATCTTAAGGTTGGTTCCATGAAGTGCATTCTTTATATCAAGGATATACTCACACGATATGTTAAGGGTCTAAATGTAATTAGCAAATACCTAATCATTCCTCTGTATCACACTCTGTATATATACCTGTATTCTCTCATATAAAATACAATTAACATTTACATTCTATATGGTATCAGAGCATTACGATACCTAAAACAAAAACCCTACCTTTTTCTTCTTTTCTTTTCCGCCGCCAACCATGTCTGCCACCTCAGGCAATGCCTCGGAAACCATTATCGCAAACAATCAAACACTTCTCAACATCAACATGTCAAATGTTACCAAACTCACACTCACCAATTACCTCATGTGGAAACTACAAGTTAATGCTCTCCTAGATGGTTATGCACTCGCCGACCATCTCCATGGATCTGCCACGATCCCGCCTAACACGATCAGTGTTGGCGATGTCACCTCTGAAAATCCAGACTACGTCACTTGGAAGTGTCAAGATAAGCTGATTTATAGTGCTCTCCTTGGCACTATCTCTCTCGCCATTCAGCCCATCCTCTCACGCACAACTACTGCCTGTGACATCTGGAGTACTCTTGCTCAGACTTACGCAAAACCCAGCCGTGGTCACATCAGGCAACTGAAGCTACTGAAAAACTGGACCAAAGGCAGCAGCACTATTGATAGATACCTTCAAGGATTCACCACAGGGTTTGACAACCTTGCCACACTTGGTAAGCCAAATGAAGATGAGGATCAGATTGAAATGATTCTTGAAGGTTTACCGGATGACTACACGTCAGTTGTCGATCAAGTTGAAGGCCGTGACACCCCTCCCACAATTGTTGATCTCCACGAACGCCTTCTGAATCACGAGGCAAAACTCCTCTCCGCGGCTGTCTCTCCATCTGTTCCAGCCACTGCAAATATGGCTCAACAGCATACTAAACAACAACAACTACTCTGGCAACAAATCACACAACAAGTCTCGCAACAATGGTGCCTCTCAGCCACATTGGCAACAGACACAACCCCTCAACAACAACCGTGGACCGCGTCCTTACCTTGGCCGCTTCCAATACTGCAATGTCCAAGGTCACTCGGCTTGTAGGTGTCCTCACTTACCGAACCAAGCTCAGTCCTCCACCTCTTCACAGATCAGTCCATTCACCCCTTGGCAGCCACGCGCCAATCTCGCCATGGGCTCTCCCTACTCAGCTGACAACTGGTTGCTCCACAGTGGTGCCACACACCACATCACGTCCGATCTCAACAATTTGTCTCTGCATCAACCGTATCAAGGAGGTGATGATGTGTTGATTGGCGATGGATCTGGACTTCCCATCACCCATACTGGTTCTACTACGTTTCACTCCAACTCACGCCCTCTTGCTTTAAATAATATCTTATGCGTTCCAAACATACACAAGAACTTGATTTCTGTGTATCGTTTATGCAACTCTAATCAAGTCTCCGTTGAATTTTTCCCAACTTCCTTTCAGGTGAAGGATCTCAGCACGGGGGCTTGTTACTCCAAGGCAAAACTAGAGACGAGTTGTATGAATGGCCAGTGACAGCATCTCAAGTAGCAGCACTCTATGCATCTCCAAGTTCGAAAGCGTCTCTCTCCTCTTGGCATGCTCGCCTTGGCCATCCCACTGTCTCTGTTCTAAACACCATTGTTTCTCATTTTTCTCTACCCACTTCTTGTTCTTCTTCCAAACACTTATCATGTTCTGATTGCTTGCTCAATAAATCTCATAAGTTGCCTTTTGCTGAATCATCTATTGTCTCATCGAAACCTCTTCAATATCTATTTTCCGATGTATGGACCTCTCCCATAACATTCATAGACAATTTCAAATATTACCTCATCTTTGTAGATCACTTTACTCGCTACACATCGTTCTACCCCCTCAAACACAAATCCCAAGTTAAAGAAACCTTTTTAGCCTTTAAATCTCTTATTGAAACCCACTTTGAAACAAAAATCCAAACACTATACTCTGACAATAGTGGCGAGTATGTCGCGCTAAAGAGCTTCCTCTCCACACATGGAATAGCTCATCTCACCTCCCCTCTTCACACCCCTGAACACAATGGCTTGTCAGAACGCAAACATCGCCACATAGTTGAGACCGGTTTGACACTTCTCTCGCAAGCCTCAATGCCAAAAACATATTGGACATATGCCTTCTCGTGTGCCGTCTATCTTATCAACAGACTCCCTACGCCAGTCTTGTCTCTCACCTCGCCATATCAGAAAATTTTCTAAGTTGCTCCAAACTATCACAAGCTCAAAGTCTTTGGCTGTTTGTGTTTTCCATGGCTCAGGCCATATGCAAAACACAAACTTCATGATCGCTCCAAAGAGTGTGTCTTCCTTGGGTACTCTCTCACCCAGAGCGCCTATTACTGCCTTGACAAGTCCACTGGTCGCATATATACTCCACGGCATGTTCAATTGTTGAAACAAATTTCCCTTTCAACAAATCAAAGCTGTTACCTTCGGATGATGTTGTCACTGCTGTCCCTGCTGTCATAACGCCTCTCATCACTCAACTACCTCTTCAATTGTTGCCTCCACAGCCCCCGGGCACGATCCTTCACCCCTCTTCGTCGTCATCACCGTCGCATCCACCGGCTCCTCCTCGCACAGTACCTCATGACTCAACTGCTGCTCCGACTCCGAACCCAAATTCGGTCCCTCGCACTGCTCCGACATCTCCGACTACTGTCACTCTCTCTCCGGCGAACTCTGCGGTTGATCCCTCACCGCCTCAGGTATTACGCTCTAACTCTGAACCTTCGTCTTCCTCCTCTGTCTCCTCACGAGACTCTTCTTCTACTCTCAAAGCCCAGCTTTCAATTCCCCATCTAAAATCCAATCTTTTACCCAAACTACTGAAATTAACCGGCCATTGACATCACTCAGCCCACAGAAATCAACCGGGCTACTCAAACCAATGAGCCCACAGAAAAAACCGGGCCACACAAACCACTGAGCCCACAGAAATCAATCCATCTTCTAACCCAACCAGCTCTGCAAATCGTCAAGCCACTGCAATTGATTTGTCAATTGCAAACCAGAACCCAGTTCTTGCTTCCCCGATGCTTCGACACCAGATGCAAACGAGATCTAAGAATAACATCAGGAAACCCAATACCAATTATGCCAATGTCTCTGCTCTTCGTCTGTGTCATGGAACGTGAACCGACGACTGTCGCACAAGTTTTAAAGGATAAAATTTGGCGTGGCTCCATGTCCGAAGAATACGACGCACAAGTGGGACATCGCACTTGGGATTTCGTCCCTCCTAATCCGTCCCAAAACGTCATTAGTTGCCGCTGGATATTCAAGCTCAAGTTCCTCCGCAATGGTACGGTTAATCGCCATAAGTCTCGTTTGGTCGCTAAAGGTTACAATCAGGAGTATGGGATCGATTATTGTGAAACCTTCAGTCTTGTTATTAATTAAGACGACGTACCGTTCTTGGAGTTGCTGTCACCAGAGATTGGCCAATTCTTCAGTTAGATGTCAACAATGCATTTCTCCAAGGAACTCTCAATGAAGAAGTGTATATGCAGCAACCGCCGGGCTTTGTGGATAAAGATCGTCCCGATTACGTCTGCAAACTCAACAAGGCAATCTACGGACTGAAACAGGCTCCTTGTGCCTGGTACTTGGAACTTAAAGAGTATCTTCTTGTCTCTGGTTTTGCTAACTCTCTTGCTGATGCTTCTTTGTTCATCTATCGTCACAGACGCAGCTTTCTCTATGTCTTAATCTATGTAGACGATATCATTGTCACTGGAACCGACTCTGCTCTCATTCATCAGTTTGTCACAGCTCTCGCAAATCGATTCTCCATCAAAGATCCAACAGAGCTCAGCTACTTTCTTGGAGTTGAAGCTACACGTACAGCGAAGGGTCTTCACCTTATGTAACGCAAATACATACTTGATCTCCTCACAAAGACACATATGCTAGATGCCAAACCCGTAGCCACACCACTTCTAGAATCTCTGAAGCTTACTCTTAATGGTGGTCAGCCGCTTGATGATGCCAACGAATATCGAATGGTAATTGGAAGCCTCCAATATCTCGCGTTTACCCGACCAGACATTGCATATGCCGTCAAAAAATTGTCACAATTCATGAACCATCCTACTACCGATCATTGGAAGGCTGCCAAACGCGTTCTTCGATACCTATCAGGAACGCTCACTCATGGTATTTTCCTTAGTTCTGATTCTTCACTCTCTCTTCATGCCTATTCGGATGCATATTGGGCTGGAGACAAAGATGATTATATCTCCACCAATGGCTACATCACCTATCTTGGACGGCATCCTCTATCGTGGACATCAAAGAAACAACGTGGTGTTGCTCGCTCTTCAACTGAAGCTGAGTATCGCTCTGTAGCCAACACTGCTTCTGAAATCCGATGGATATGCTCTCTCCTATCAGAACTTGGTATTCAAATGCCGGCCACTTCAGTCATCTATTGTGATAATATTGGAGCTACCTATCTCTGCACCAACTCAGTATTTCACTCTAGAATGAAGCACTTAGCTCTTGATTACCACTACATTCGCAATCAAATACAAGACGGCTCCCTTCGTGTTTCTCACGTCTCCACACATGATCAATTAGCAGACACTCTCACAAAGCTTCTCTCTTGAGTGAAGTTTCAATCCTCTAGGTCCAAGATTGGATTCACGCATGTGCCTTCATCTTGAGGGGGTGTATCAAGGATATACTCACGATATGTTAAGGGTCTAAATGTAATTAGCAAATACCTAATCATTCCTCTGTATTGTATCGCACTCTGTATAAACACATGTATTCTCTCATATCAATACAATTAACATTCACATTCTATACTTTACTCTATGATCAAATGAAACAACTATACAAATGTTGATGAATCTTATATATGAATTTACAGTTATTGGGTTGCTTCGCAGGTCGAATGTTTAACACGCTTGTTGGTCGATAATCAAGCGCTTCAATGTACTCAATGTGAGTCTACAAATCCGAATTTATATAGTTTTTCAACAATTCAAATTAAGAAGAAGCCAGAACCTGATTCAAACTATAAACGTCAGGTCCGTTTCTTTGGAATTTGCCATCAACGTAACATCCCAGATTGTGAGAAGTCAGCCCAATCACACTCAGAAACTCCTACTCTTTGTTCGCAGAACCCATCTCTGCAAAATCACCCCCAGAAAGTCAAAATCCGAGAGAAATTGAAAAATACAAGTATCCACAAAGAGGATCAAAGCGAAAAGGAGCAGAGAAGTGACCTTATTATTATTGATCGTATCCAAGTATGGAGCTTCCGATAAGTTTTTGGATCACGGAGTCCATTCAAATAAAAAAATTGTTTTAACAGCGACTAAAAGAGATTGAACTGCCTAATCTTTATATTATTAATTGAGAAGTACATGAAAAATTTATGACCAAAAAACCAATCTAATTATGAAGAGAAAGTATTTGGCAACAGATTTAGTGAGGGTCAAAATTTAATACATTGTAATGTTTGGATACAAGAATAAGAGAAAAAGCTATTTGGATAGAAGAATAAATGGAAAAAATTTTTGGATACAAGAATAATAACTTAAAACTAAACCGATGGTTTAGAAAACTTCCGTTTCTTAGCTCTTAAAAATCTGCAAAAAAAAACTTAACATAATCTAACGATAATACCAAATCAATAGAATATGCTTTTTGGATTTTTTGGATTTTTATAGACAAGTTCGGGTTTGGGTGAAAATCTGAGACCTAATTTTATAGAGATATAGATATATAGAAATTGTTCGGTTTCTTTGAAAATTTCTGTTCGGGTTGGGTTCGAGTTTTTTTTTTCAGTTTAGGGTTTTCCGGATTTTTGGATTTCGGTTTTCGGTTTAGATATATTAAAAAAGTTTGGTATTTTAAAATTTTGATTAGGGTATTTGGGTCGGGTTCCAGGTGAAAAAGTTTCCAAATTTTTTTTGTTCAGTTCAGGGTTTTCGGATTTTTTTATTTCGGTTTTCGGGTTTAGACATATTAAAAAAGTTTGGGTTTTAAAAATTTTTGATTAAGGTTTTTTGGTCGGTTCGGATTTAGGGTTTAAATTTTTTACACAAAACAACAACGTCACACCGCAGAAACGTGAAAATAATAATCCGTCGTTTAGTCACGTGTCTTATACTTATTCCGGGGTTAAATAAAACGCGTCTAGGATCCGGAATAATCAGGTAAAAACACACACCCACGGATTTTCCGTTGCTCTGTTTTCTTATCAGGCCCTATTTAGTCCGGCCCATTAAGATATTTGTATTAGAACCGGTTTACCCGCCACGGTTATTACATTTGCAATTAATCGCATTTTCCACCTAAAACCAAACCCGGCATTAATATTTTCGTCAAATAATATTGAGCATAAAGCTTACACATAAATTTATATTTTAGTACTTTGATTCTGCTAGTGCTATGGTTGTCTTTTACTAATTAACCTTAAGTTCATAGTTCATACTGTATTAAAACAAAATTTCTAGAGTGAAAACATTAAAACAAAAAGCACGGGTTAGCTTACACATATTTTTACTTGCTTAATTTGGATATTAATTGTGTTTATTTGACCCGTAGAGTGAATCTGGAGTTATCCATCACTGATTGTGACTGTAAATGTCTTCACTATTGGCTTTCAAACACCTTCAGCCTCCTCCTCCTTCGATCAGTAGCTCTCGACAGTTTGATGAATCAGACCAGATATATAGTAGAGTTGACTATATGATAATCGTCAATAAACTTCAAGAAAATAGAGGAAAAAATAAAATTGAGTTAGCAAAATGATGGTTAGTGATACTCTAGTCACACGGATGCTCACAAATCCTAACAAAATGCTTACAACATACTCACAAAATGCTTACAACATATTTAAAAAATGCTCAAAAAATGCTCACTTTAACACATTTCACACAAATTAAGAAAATAGTTCAATAAGCTTATCAAGAACTTATAATGGTCAATTTTCACATGAGGTAGGTAACTAACAAAGTCTTCAACTTGGTTAGTTTTAAAAATGAAGATGGAATTGTCCCCTTTAATTGGTTTAAGCTCAAACCATTGCCAGAAGCAAACTCAATTCTTACAGCCTTTCAAGGTTTGATAGTCCTCCAAGCTCTAGTGGTAATATCCCAAAAAGTTGATTATACTCCAAGCTCTGGTGGTAATATCCCAAAAAGTTGATTATACTCCAAGATACTGTAACAATAGGTAAAGAAGACTTAATCAGTTACTACAAATCATATCATAGCAAAGTCTTGAATTGATCAAGTCCCTTAAGTTCTTGTTTGTGTCCCATACAATAGAAACAATAATGTGAATGAAGCAAAGTATTTACAAGACACTACACATTTTGACTACAAATGAAGCATCAATGAACGATCATGTTTTCATAAATAATATATGCATTTATTTTGGACACTATAACAGTAACTTAGCACTAGCTTAATCAGCTTTAACTCAATCAAACAACATTGATAAAAAGTTATACTCACATGCTCTCAAGAGTGTTAATGTTTCCAAGCTCTTTGGGGATCGGACGAGTTAGTGAGTACAACTTTTTATCAATGTTGTAAAAACTCAAAACTAACCAAATAACTCTTTGGGGATCAGATCAGTTAGTGAGTACAACTTTTTATCAATGTTGAAAGAGCTCAAAACTAAATTGTGATTGCAATTAGTGTACATTTACATTTTACAAGAAGATAAAGGCTCTGGATAATTTTTTTTTTTTTAACAGCTCAACGTTTTTTATTTTGTAATAATAAAAAAAAATACAAATTAGAAAAATGGAGAATACACATGGATATTCGTTTTACATTAAAAAAACAAAAAAAAATAGAATACAAATTAACCAATAATTTGAACTTTGAAGTAAACCGAGATAATAGAAAAAGAAACAACATCATAATTGCAGCGTCATATACTCATATGTCCTAAGGTTTAACTCAATCAAACATTTTGACTTGTCCCGCTAATTTAATAAAAGAATTAATGCATTGACCCTAAGGTTGTCCCAATCTTCTTATAATGAATTTATTTTGATGTGTTCACTAACCATAAGAACACATGAAAGTGTCAAATAAGAATCAGGAAAACCAATAAAGATGTGAAGAGATTGTTGGAGAAGAAATCAATTTCTATTTCTTTTTAGCGAATTTGGGATTTTATCGTATATATAGTAGTTTTATTAATCGATGAGAAAACAATTCAAGTTCTGAAAGTAATTATAAATTTCGATATAAAATCATTGATCTTGTACACCCACCTAGAAAGCAATTAAGTGACAAAAGTAAGTACTTCAATTCATAATAGATACATCTCTTCAACAAGATCTATGGGCCGTAAAAAAAAGGTGAAAAAGCTCAGCGAGCAGGAGGAGAAGAGAAGAAGATGACAAGGAAATACACAAGAAAACCTGCTATAAGTATCCCTCCGTACACCAACGTTTGATACGACTTGACTCCGACTGTGTATTTGTACTCTATCTTACAGCATCTCATGTTCTCCCTCTCTGTTTCCAGTACATGTTCTACGTACCTGCAACCATTTTTGTGTGGCGTTACATATTGTTAATTCAACAGATAAAAGTGTTTTGAAGAGAAGTAAGAGACATACTGTTTTAAGAGAAGTAAGAGAGCGTCGTATAGTTTGTGGTCGTATAGCAAAGAAGACAGATCCACCAGTTGTTCCTCTACAGTCTGTTCTTACAATCACAACACAGAAATGTAAAAGAGTGTAAGAAAACAATCCATCTGGTGGAAAATTGAGAGTCACGAAAGAACGGTAAAAATATTTTTCTTTGAACTTACATCTAGATATTTCTCTAATCTTTCGACTAGCTCGTGTGGGAAAGGCTCAGGCAATGTGGTTGTCTTCTTGTAGAATGTCTCAACCCATAGCTCTGTTTTGGTTTTGTTCTTTTTGTCTTTCACTGGCTCTCCAAGTGGTGTCTTGAGGTAATCAGATGCAAAGTTTTGTACTGCCTGCACATTATAATAACACCAACAACAACCACAATTGACGAATTCTCTCTCGAAGAGGAAATTACCAAAAACAGATATTATTCAATTCGCTTACCTCTGACGTTTCACGGATTCTGCGCAGAGCAGAATCAACCCGAGCATAAATAGTATTCCTCTGCGGATCAAAGATAACCATAAATTCAGAAGGGAATTCAAATGCAAACTTTTTTTTTTTCAGAAATCATAATGGCTGTTGGACTCACCAGTGCAACATCTTGTAGCATTTGACTCATCTGAGAGGTGTTTGAGAACGGTCCAAACGGGTGACAACCACTTGCCCAAAGCCAATTGGTGACAGGTCTTTCATGCGCATGAGATGTCTTCTCATACGGTGAACTTACACCACCTAAAGCCGAAGCTATGCCTGCAAGTATATGCCGCTGTACCTGTGATGGAACGGCCTGCTGTCTCTCTGTTTCAGACACATAACTGCGAAAAAACAAGAAATCAAAACCCATATGATGACCATAGTAGCAAGTTTATTATTATTTCTAAACTTCCATTTGTTGTTGCGTTTTGCAAACCTCAAAGGTATTTTCTCGTTTAGATGCTGAAGCACAATGACTACATCACTGCTTGCCCACACAAGGCTCTCATCTTCCATCATGAGCATTGGGTCCACATCGGCTAATGAGAGTATAAACCTATATACAGAGTAAAGATTTTGATCAGTTGGTTAAGAGTGTAATTTAAACACTTAATCACTGGATCTATCATGTTATAAAATATGAAGCATAATCTCACAAGTCTATACTTGCAAAACACAACATTAAATCATTGTTTCAAAGCTTAATTCGATTATACTTAAATTTTAACAATCAAGTGTATTTTTTTTTAATTGTTTCATGAGTCCAGTTCATACAAAGAAGGAGCCAAATACAACATTTAACCGGTACGCAAATAAATCCCTGACAATGAACCGAAGTTGATTCCTTGCGGTAGAGGTAACCAAAGATAAAAACCAATTCAAAAATTCAAAACTTGAAAACCCAAACCAGAAAATTTGATGATTTGTTGGAGACTTGTGTTACCTTAAACTTTGGAACATAGAGAACATGTGCAAATAGCTCTTCATCACAAATCACAACAGCAGCATCTGATGATATCTCAATTATCGTTGGCTCCACAAAGTTTCCTTCACGTTCCACCGCTTTACCTCCCGTTTAGTATTTTACCGCCCAGGAAACGCAAAACAAGGTTTTACTTTGACTATAATATTGCAAAAGGTTTTAACTCTCATGCATAAGCTTTCAAGATAAAAAAAAAAAAAATAACATTTAAAGGATTAAAGAAAAGGATTATTAGGAGAAGAATCAAAAGCGGCTATGATGGGATTAGTGTATTTGTACCAGCAAGTTTTCCAACGTTGACTAGCGGTTCCAACCGCAGCAAACAGAACTGAACGAGCAGCTAGCTAGCTGTCTGTATGTCAGCGTCGTCCATGACTATGATCGCATTGTTTCCACTCAATTCAAGCAAGATTTTGCCAGATATCGCACTCACTGTTTTGTTGTACCATTACACTCACCTGTCATTTCTAGGCAAATCTAGTAGCCAAAACATGAGGAGTTTCATCTAATTCTACAGTGTCCACATAATCAAATTGCAGAGCCAATCTTACAAGACACATTAGCTGGTAAGACAGTTTACGGTCCACATCTTTCCTCTGTTTTGTGAGGCGCGCTCTTCAAGATTTGAAAGTGGTCACAAGACTTACCAAGAATTGCACATGGAAAGTTAAATGCTGTGATAGCACCAACAATTTCAAGAGGACTCCACATCAATCATGTCCTAGGAAAAAGTATTAGAAACTCGCAATTCACCTCCAACATCATGTGATATGGGCCTGCAACAAAGAAATAATATGAGTCTAGAGATACATCTTTCGGAAAAAAAAAAACAAGCATTTCGATATACTCAATTTGTTTCAACAATCACGCGTTTAAATTCAAAGTAAGAAGAAGCCAGAACCTGATTGTTAGCGGGATTCAAACTCGAAACAACAGGTCCGTTTCCTTGCCATTTGCCATCAACGTAAGATCCCAGATTGTGACAAGTCAGCCCAATCTCACTCAGAAACTCCTACTCTTTGTTCGCAGAACACGTTTCTGCAAAATCATCCCCAGAAAATCAAATTCCAAGAGAAATTGATAAAATACAAGTATCCGCAAAGAGGATCAAAGCGAAAAGGAGCAGAGAAGTGACCTTCTTATTGACTGTATCGAAGAATGGAGCTTCCGGTACTTTTTTTGATCACGGAGTCAAATTAAAAAACAAAAAAACAAATTGTTTAAACAGCGACTAAAACAGATTGAAGACGACGAATCCGTGGTTTAAATAAAACCTGACTAGGATCCGGATTAATCAGGTAAAAGACACACCCACGGATTTTCCGTTGCTCTGTTTTCTTATCAGGCCCTAATTAGTCCGGCCCATTAAGATATTCGTATTAGAACCGGTTTACCCGCCACGGTTATTACATTTGCAATTAATCGCACTTTCCACATAATATCAAACTCGGCATCAATATTTTTGTCAAATAATATTTGAGCATAAAGCTTACACAATAAATTTAGATATTTTACTACTTTGATTCTGCTAGTGCTATGTTTGTCTTTTTCTAATTAACCTTAAGTTCATACTGTAAATGAAAACAAAATTTATAGAGTTAAAACATTTAAACCAAAAAGCTAATCCGAACGTGTTAAACACCAACTCTTGGTCTACGGGTCAAATAATCACAATTAAGATCCGAATTAAGCTAGTGAAAAATCCGACACAGCCATTGTCGCTTCTTTCCTTTCAATATAATGCTATAATCGCGAGTGTACGGGATGAACCTAATCGAATTATATGATATGATTAATTCTATCTTTAAAAAGGAATAATATGCTGATTGATCATATATTGGCTTAATGAATCACTTACATTACATTTATGAAGAAGGGTGATTACCTTCAAAATTATTGAGAGGCTGAGAGGAAAAACTGAAAAAAAACCTGAGGAATATTAGAGATCTTGATCCAAGTTTTGTCTCATAGTATTGTTACATGGATCCGAAATCTAAATAAAAGTTTATAGTCACCAACATATATAAACACCCGATCGCAGAGGTTATGGTCGTCGATTACACATATTAAAAGAATGGCTTAGAACCACAAGAACACTTTACCAGCAACTCATTTCTCCGTTTGATCAAAAAGGATTTCTTCTGAACAATACTAAAAACACTCATCTCATAGCTGATTTTGGCTGCTTTCAGGGTTTGAAAATGTGGTAGCTTCTCAGAGCTTTCAGGATGAGATTCCTAAGACATGAAGACTGTTGCTTAAGCACTCATCTCTTGTCCAGTGTTAACACTACTACACACACGAATCTTGATGAGAACTCCCAATAAACTAGCAAAAGTTCATTCTGATCCAGTTCCATGTTTCAGCCTAAGCGAGAAACAAACACTAGAAGCCAAAAAGATTACACTCAAACTTACGATGTTCCAGTAGGAGTAGTGCTAATGTGGGACTCATCCTCATCAATCTGAAACTAGACTTACTTTCAAGACACTGGAATTTCTTCAGACATAAAACACTCAAGCTGCAAGAAACATAACATCTTGTAATTTTCGAATGTAAGAAACTCAATAGCTCTATGCAAATAGTGTTTTTGGTACAAGCAAACTATAGGAATTACGTATAATTTTATTATAAAACAAGTATATCTACACCCTATTTCGTCTAATAGTTAGAAAGAAACATAATGCAATTTTAACAAAATTGTCACAAATGCTCAAAAAATGCTCACAACATACTCACAAAATACTTAGAAAATGCTCAATTTGATACTTTTCACACAAATTACGAAAAAAGTTCACTAAGGTTATCAAGAACTTATGTATAATGATCAATTACACACAAAATTGACCTTATCAAGTATACAAAGTCCTTGGTTGATTCATCTTTGATGTTGAATAAGCTTTAGGTTTATAAATGTTTTTGGTTTTGGTTATACATGAGACTATCTCATCTTAAATTTTGAAACAAGTACTTAATAGTCTGTAATTAACTACCTGAATGTATATGTCAAAGTAGCGCCTTCCCAAGCTTTTGTAAGACCTGGTACGGCTGAACATAATCTCGGCGAAGTGGAGTTTCACCTTGTACTCTCTGCTTTGAAGACACTTGGCGTAATAGGTGAGAGAGAGTGCTGAGAGGCGTGCATGAACATATAAATGCGGATCAGTAGCTATTGACAGTTTCGATGCATCAGACCAGATAGTAGAGTTGACTATACGATGATCGTCAAGGAAGTGTCCCGTGTTGCTCAGAACCCATCCTTTGGGGGAACTCATAGTACAATGGCTTCCTGTCATAGTTATCAGCTTCATAGGTGGTGCCATTGATTGTTACTTCATCTCCACCACAGTTTATAAGGAGACTACGAGAAACTTCATGAAAATAGAGGAAAAAACAAATTTGAGTTAGCAAAATGAGATGATGTTAGTATCATAGTTCTTGTATGTATATCATCAATCTGAAACTAGAGTTACTTTCAGGACACTGAAAGTTCTTCAGACAGAACACACTCAAACTGCAAGAAACGGAGCATCAATATCAATTTTCTAGTGTAGGAAATTCAATAATTCTGTCATGTAATGTCAGGAATGGTGTAACTCTTCTTACATGTGGTTGTCCACACACTTTTGGGTTGTAAGATCTTCAGAAAAATTGTTGTAAGATAGATCTCTGCAAAAATGAAAAAAAAAAAAATCAAATACATGTTAAAAAACATGTAATTACTTGTATAAAAGAAGTGAACATCACTTGAGGAAACTCACATTGTATCCCCATCTCTCTCCTTAGGCATCCAACTTGAGATTGACCCATTTAACATATTTTCTGTTAAATATCTGAAAGAACAAGATACTTCAACAAAATTAACATTTTCGACAAACCACAAAGAGATGAACAAGATAAGGTAACTCTACTCTTACATGTTTTCAACATCTCTAAGCTCTTCATACAAGCTATGGATTGGTCCTCTTAGTTTGTTGATACTGAGATCTCTGCAGATGGATTATTACACCATTTAACTTAGTTATTATAAAGGAGACAATACCAAATATGAGCACAAATTGAAATATTAAGGATATTTTGAGCACAATACCAAATTGCTTATCAAGGATACAAAGTCCTTGTTTGGGAATTTTCCCATCGGTTAGGAGTCCAATTGGTCTTCTTTAACGTATTTCCTACAATTCTCAAAACTTGCACTGCAAAAAACAAGTCATGAACACTTTAAACCTCAAAAATCACTACTAATTCACAAGTTTTTGGTTGATGAAATCTCTTGATAAAGTGTCTTATGTGAAAGACAATGCAAACACATTCATACCTTGTTCGCTGGGCAGAGTCGGAGTCATTAACACTTTTGGAAGCATTTGAGTACAACTCTATATCACTAAGCGTGTGTATGTACAATTGGTGTACATTTACATTTGAAGGCTCTGGATATTTCATGTGGATAAGTTTTTCTTTCGTTCTCTTTTAAGAGCTCATTAACTAACAGATTTTATTTTGTAATAATCTACAAAATACAAATTAGAAAAATGGAGATAATAATTTGAAGTAAACCGATAATAGAAAAAGAAACGAGAGACAACATCATAATTGCAGCGGCATATGTAGTAAGGTGTAACTCAATCAAACATTATGACTCGTCGTCAGTTGTCACGCTAATTTAATTAAAGAATTAATGCATTGATCCAAAGGTTGTCCCAACAATCTTTTTCTAATGAAATTATTTTGATGTGTTCACTAAACATAAAAACACATGAAAGTGTCACAAATCAGAATCAGGAAAACCCAATAAAGGTGATAAGAGATTGTTGGAGAAGAAATCAATTTCTATTTCTCTTTGGCGAATTGGAGAATTTGTCTAATACTGTACATACTGTATATAGTAGTTTTATTAATCGATGAGAAAACGATTCAAATTCTGAAAGTAACTATAAAATTCGATATAAAATCATTGATCTTACACACCCAGTCAACAACACCTAAAAAGCAATGAAGTGACAAAAGTAGGTACTTGCAATTCATAATAAATACATCTCCTCAACAAAATCTATGGGCCGTCAAGAAATGGTGAAAGAGGTCAGCGAGCAGGAGGGGAAGAGAAGAAGGTGACAAGGAAATACACAAGAAAACCTGCTACAAGTATCCCTCCGTACACCAACGTTTGATAAGACTTGACTCTGACTGTGTATTTGTACTCTATCTTACAGCATCTCATGTTCTCCCTCTCTGTTTCCAATACATGTTCTACGTACCTGCAACCAGATTTTGTTTGGCGTTACATTTTCTTGTTCCACAGATAAAAATGTTTTTAAGACAATTAAGAGACATACTATTGTGTAAACATGGTGGTCTGAAGAATCGCTGAGCTGTTGAGATGAGCAACGTATAGTTTGTGGTCGTATAGCAAAGAAGACAGATCCACCAGTTGTTCCTCTACCGTCTGTTGTTACAATATTAACACAGAGAAATTAATAATCCATCTGGTGGAAAATTGAGAGTCACGAAACAAAGGTAACGGTTATTTTATTTGAACTTACGTCTAGATATTTCTCCAATCTTTCAACTAGCTCATGTGGGAAAGGCTCAGGCAATGTGGTTGTCTTCTTGTAGAATGTCTCAACCCATAGCTCTGTTTTGGTTTTGTTCTTTTTGTCTTTCACTGGCTCTCCAAGTGGTGTCTTGAGGTAATCAGATGCAAAGTTTTGTACTGCCTGCACATTATAACAACACCAACAACAACCACAATTGACGAACTCTCTCTCGAAGAGGAAATTACCAAAAACAGATATTTTTCAATTCGTTTACCTCTGATGTTTCACGGATTCTGCGTAGAGCGGAATCAACGCGAGCATAAATAGTATTCCTCTGCGGATTAAAGATAACCATAAATTCGAAGTGGCTATGAACCTTATGCTTCCCTTTGCCACTATGATCAAACAACAAAAGCTCAAAGAGAGCTCTTACATCGGTGCCATCGCTAGCCAATGCGATGAAAACGGAGACGTAAGCCGAATAGTCCTCCGGGGTAGAAATAGATTGCCCACTCGTATCCACTGACGGTGAATGTGTCCCTTGATGTGTTTCCGATCCCGATTCCTTTGGCTAGCGAATACCCTTTGATTGTGAAGCTATGCGATCCGTTTATTGGTTGTCTAACCGAGAGAGAAGTCGTCGTTGGTGGCGACGTCATTTTTCGAAACTCTCTGCTTTTTTTTTCTTTTGTTTATTGTCGTGAAAAATTCTCAGACGGATTCTTTTATGAGTTTTTCCATTTTTTTCCTGGGATAATGAGAGAGTGAGACTTTACAATGCCGCGTAACTGTTGTAAGTTGCAACTTGTGTAATAACAAAGTTAATTAGTACTAATAAATTAGCAGAACAAACCGAAAAATTATGAAGCAATAATGAAATCAAACCGGATATTAGATATTGAACCAAATTTATCTCTCGACTGAATAGAAACCAAAAATGTAGCAACAGCCGCCATTGAAGAAGCCTCGTCTCAGAGTCGGAAAGAGTGATTCATTATCCCGGCCACCAATCCATTGCTCCGGTGTGCGGATTTGACTATCCCATGGCTAAACCCTCAAGATATCTCCACCTTCTCTTAAACCTGCAAAACTTTATACCTGACTACCAGACCCCTCATTCTCCGGCGATCTCTTGACGCTACACGGTCCCTCGATAATTCAATCCCGCATGCGAAATCGGAGAACGTGTCAAGACCTTCTCTTGACTCAGTGAGTGAACGCGGACGATTAGGAGTGAATCTATTGTTGGCCGAGGTTGGTGGATGGTTGATGCGCGTTGACTGAGCACCGGTGGTTTGTCGGAGAGAGACTTCGAGACAGAGACAGCGGAGAATTTTTTGCGCCGCGCAGTGGAGATCCATTTAGGAGCATTTGATTTGGCGATTCTCCCATGGATGGAGAAACCAGAGAGACGACAACTCTCACGGTGAGTCGAGGAGGCAGTTGCATGTGCGAACGGCGAGATCAGAGGCAATCAAGCGATCCCACGGACAAGAGTTTGTGTCGGCGTTAGGTTTACGATTAGGTGAGTGAGAGAAAACCGAATAAGGCAATTTTTGAGTGTTTGGGGTTATTATGTAAACAAAATAATGTCTAAGGACTGTGTGGGAAATATTTTGTCTGTTTTTTTTTTTTTAAAAAGAGAACATGACACGTGGCGCTCATATGGAGAAAGTTATCCTCTCATTATAATATAAATTATGCTGTTTTTTTATTTCTCAATTGATGTAGTTATTGTTGCAGGACTGTCCTAAAAAATTCACCCAAATCTTTCTTCAGCTCTTGACCAAATTTCATCACCATCGATAGCTTTTATTCACCGAATGCTATTACAAAGGAAGAGCTGACTAAAAGGGAGCTTCTTCAGTTTCTGGGTGACTTAACCACACAAAGACTTTGTTTTCTCATGCAAATCATTTACATCGATCATCCTCATCAACTATTACCTCTTTCTTGTCTATATCAATTGTTTGAGGCATTTGTTTCCTCTATATATAATAAACAGACATAAAGCAAAAGCTCGAAAATCTTTGAAGATTTCATCGGTTCGACCTTTTTCGGAACCGATCACGCAGCTATTAACCCTAGGATTTTAAGATGAGAAAACCTAGAGTATAAGATATGGAAAGGATTTACTCAGCCACGAAAAAAGGATTGTAGATCTCATTGTTAATAAGATATCTTGAATTCACATCTTCTATCATGGTATCAAAGCACTAACGGGCAATTCCATTTATTTTCCTCTCTTCTTCTGTGTCGCTTTCTTCTCAGTGGCTCTCGGCTCTCTGTTTTTTTTCCCCTTTTGTTCACTATCAGATTGCTGATTAAATCTGACAATCATGTCAAACAATGACACGTCTTCTGCCGAGAACACTATTGTGTTCAATCGTCAAAATCACCAAACTCATGAGCCTTAATTAGGTCATGTGGAGCCGTCAGATCAGTGTACTCCTTGATGGCCATGAACTTCATGGTTTCCATGAGGACTCAACGATTGTCCCCTCTCCGACAATCACTGCTGATGGCCAAGAAATTCCGAATCCAGATTATGCATCCTCTACAGCGCACTCATTGGTCCAATCTCACTATCGATTCCGTGGTTTCAACCGCTACAACAACCAGCAAGGTGTGGGCGACTCTTCTCTCCACCTATGGCAAACCATCACGAGGTCACATCCGACAACTTAAATACCAAATCAAGACATGTATGAAGGCCACCAAAACCATCAACGAATATCTTAGGATTATCAAAGGAAAAGCGGATTACCTTGCATTCTGTCGATCCAGAAGACCTCACGAAACATATCTTAGCCGGTCTGAGTGAAGAATACAAACCAACACCAACAATGTAATATAAAACATGAAACGAAGAACATAATGAATAAAAAATATTTATCAGATATAGGATTTCTCTAGATTTTCTTTAGTAACTAAAAATAATTTTCTTTGTCAAATATTAAGTCTTTCTCTATATTCTCTACAATGATCAAAACCCAAATTTGCAATCTCAGAGGCATGTCCAAAAAAAAACCATGACAAAATCTTCTCATAAACAACATGAACACAATCTATTTAATAATATAATATGATAAGAAACAAAAAAAATGTTAAAAGAAAAACTCGCTAGGAATAATTATCTAGGATAGCTAACATGATCTTCACAGAATATTGAAGACAGAGAGGCACCGGAAGATTTTGTCAGCTACCAATATATATAGATAGATGTGATTTACAAAATTAGGCGACATGGTTTTCTTTTGTTCTTCTCGGCTACAGGCCTACAGCTAATCGGAGTCCGTTTCTTCCAGTTTAGTTTAAGTTAATATTATTAGGGGTATCTATTTATATAGGACAAAGTTGGTTATGAAACCTAGGGTTTTCTTTTTATTTTTTCTTTCTAAATTTTCTATTTTCTTTCAAAATTGTGGGGCGAAAATGATAGTTAGGATTTTTATCTAAAATTATTTTATTGAAAAATCAAATTCGTTTTTTTTAAAGGAAAATTCGAAGATTTATTCAAGATTTTCATTAAGGGTAGTTCGTAATTCCGCGGCTGAGAGTTAACGTGGTGGCTCCATTCGAAATTATGACTTCGCAAATAATAGTATGATTAATTATGAGTTGTAGTTTGTAAGAAATTAACTCATGAGTTTGAATGTCGATAAAATTTTCACTCATTTATTAGTTACTAATGACATTAGAAGCTAAAATTACAATAAAAATGTAACATTTTTTTTACGACAAAAAGTAACAATTTAAATAACATGATTATTGAACACATCTTTTCTTTATCAAAAGTAATTTCCAATTGCAAACAAACACTAAAAGCTATAATCAACATTTGCATATTATGTAATCATTACTCATTCTTTTCAAAATAAATGTCATATTGGGAAAATGTATATGGATTATAATTGGATATGTTTTGAGTTTAATACATTTGATACAATATTAACTAAATATTCCTTTATATTTGTTTTTTTTGTTAAATACTCCCTTTTTTAAAAGATGTAAATCATTGAAAATTATAGTATATATAAAATAAACATTGTGATAATGCAACAAAATGGCACAAACTTTTTGTCAATTGGCTTATTTTTAATGGTTCATTGATAGTTTGGAGACTTTTAGATTTCAATATTTGCAAAATTTACATTTCATTTATAACAAGTCAAATTATTCGTTTCCTGTAAGAATTAATTAATTTTTGTTTTCAAGAAAAAAAATAATACGTTTGAACATATACAAATAATTAGTTATTAGAAATTTATTCAAAATAAATAATAATAAACTAGCAAAAAATCAATATAAACTAGAAATCGATCAAAACTAATAGAATTAGTTTGATTCACAACAAATACTTTAAATTACTTGTCAATATATTATATTCCCATTTTTTGCATTCCCTTATATTCTATCATTCAATAAAAATCTAAAAAATCAACGTATCACTAACTATACAATTTTATAGAGAAATATCTTTAACTTTATCAGAAAAAAAATTACAACTTTTATGAAAATATATTTGCAACCAAATTTATAGTCAATAAACCCGATATCCCCTAGTATATATATATATATATATATATATATATATATAGTTGAAGTCATTCTCTTCTCATACTGCCACGTCAGCCAATAGAGTGTCAAAAATTGTGACACATCAGCATATAATTTATTTAACATATTTTATCTTTTTATTTATTTTAGTTTTTATAATAATTATCATTTATAAATATAATAACTTAATAAGAATATGAAAAACCATTTAAAAAAAAGAGATATGTTATGTATATATCTACAAAAACTATTATTTAGTAATAATAATAATAAAAATATATTATAAAAATAACACTACTTTTTCTTAGTATTTTGGGATCAAATGAGACGAGATCGGAAAAAAATTGAACTGGAAAATAGGAGAATTTTGTTTACTTCTTATTCTATTAAATGACGAGACGAGATCTAAAGGAACAGAAAAGAACAAGATATAACAAGATGGAAATTTTGCCTACCTCTAATTCTATTTTGGGATGGAACGGAAAAAACGAAAAAAATATTGAGAGAGGACAAGAGAGAAAGGTTGGCCGGGACAGAATGAAAATAAATGAAATGTGACAGGATTGGACGAGACGAGATGAAAAGTGACGGGACGGAAATTTTGCCTACCCCTAATTATATTTAGAGACGAGACAGAAACAAGAAAAAATGGAAAGAAACATAATAGGATAGGATGGGACTGGATGGAGCGGACAGAACGAACGGAACAGGAAAGAACGGAACAAGATGAAAAGGAATGGAATGGGCAGAGCCGTGCCAAGGTAAAATGATGCCGTAGGCGAGAAAAAAAATCTCAAACTTAAGAAAAACATAAATTTTTACTGCAACACAAAAATATAAAAGAGTGTCTACGATAACAAAAATTGTCATATGACAAAACAAAATAAAGAAGTAAACACAAAAATAGTTCAAAATGTAATGTAAACTAAAACTTGTAATGATGTGATATATCATATATGTCAAGAACTCAAGACTGTAATAGGATGATTAAGAACTAAATAACAACAGAGAAGTAGAATATATCTTATATATAATAGGAGAGTTTCTCTCTCCATCTAGGCTATCCACATCAGCCAAAAAATTCATTAAATTGTTTTTAAAATATTTAATACATGACTATTCATATTTCTTTACCTATATTTATATTTTTAAATATAAATAAAACTAAGAAAAATACACAACTAAATTACTTAATTAATATAAAGTATGTGATAACTTGATGTTAAAAGTTATCAAAAAGTTTGGATATAAGTAAAAATATATTTATCTTGAAATGGTATATATTTACCTTTTTATTAAAAGGATTTATCCTACTTCAAAATGTTATAATGTGTTCACAAGTTAAAAAGTTGAATATAAATTAATTAAGATAATAAAAAACCAATGAGAAATTAGAGTTAGAGTTTGCTTTTTTAAACAAATAGAAGTCAAGTTTTTATATGTAAATTTAATTGCAGTGAAAAACATGAAAATTTTAAGGATTGTGATATGTTTGTTTCCAAATATATTCAATTACAAAACTAACATAATAGAAAATAATCAATGGTCATGAGGCTCATATGCTACCACAACAAAGTAGATATGTATAAAAGTATATATATTATTTTTTTCATCCTATTTCGGTGCAAATGCGATTTTACAATATACTTACAAATTTTAACGTTGAGTCAAATTATACATATGCATGTTTATAGTCTAACAAAAGTAAACAAACATAATATTTATAATATGCTAAAATGTTAGAAATAGAAAATTCGAGATAAAGTGGGGTGTTAACATCCTAATAAAATAAAATAAAAGGACGCACGATGTGAGATAAAATATAAACAAAACCATTGCAAACAACCCCGCGCTTGCTTCAAACCTAGTTAGAAAAATTGCAAACTTGAACTTGGTGAGCACACAGATAAAATAACAAACTTAATCTCTTGCTTGGGTTTTTACTTGTTTGTCTTCCACGTTTTACTATTTTAGTTTTAAAGTTTTATATTGTATCCTCACTTTAGGATAAAACGTGAATGTATTGTGCTTCTTCTGTAAATTAAAAAATTAAGAATAGAGTAAATATTTGCTTCTAACTTTTTTTTTTCTTTTCTACCAAAAAAAAAAGTAACTTTCAAAAGTTTTGGGCCGTAGGCCAAAGATTATTCCACATAACGGTAGGCACGGCTCTGGGAATGGGACAAAATTATGCCTACTCCTAATTATATATAGCGAACGAGACGAGAAGAAACAAAATGGGACATAATAAAATGAAAAAAACATAATGGGAAAGGATAGGATTAGACGGGACATATAGGACGGAAGGGACGAAAAGAACGTACATGATGAAAATGAACGAAATAGGACGAGATGGAACAAGACTGTACAAAAAAATTTCCTAACTCTAATTATATTTAAGTAATATGTGTATAATATCGATCTTTGAAATAATATTAAATTTGCGGAAAAATAATAAAACTAATACAACGGGTCGGGTCACCCCTTAGTAATAATTAAAAAAAGAAATTCTTTTAAGTTGCTTATATTGACAAATCAAATTGAGTTTATTCAATCCTATGTGAACACCTTTAGAGGCCTATAGGGTCAACTTTTATTAGTAATAGATCCTTATGATTTTATGTTTTAACTACTAACATTATGGGTCTGATCATGTTTGTCTACTTCAGGGTTCTTTATGCAAGTGGATTGATTGGCTGCACCATTACCTCCTTCAAGTTCTCGTCTTACAAAGTTGCAAGACTTGTAAGTATAGTCATGTATATTGTTCATCAATGTCATCATCATCAAGAGTGTTTATTGACTCACTCAGCTTAATATTTTTTTTCCAGGATGATCAGCGACATGTCTGGACCTGGATCTTCATTTCCACCTCTCCAGAACTTGACAAACCTGAGTAACTTGAAAGTTTTCTTAGACTATATATATATTTTATTCCAAAACATATATGATGGTGCCGAGACTTAATGTTCACTTGCTGTTTTTGCAGGGTTATGAGAAATATAAATATTAGAGGAGAGCTACCCTCCTACCTTGGAACAAAGTCCACAATTTTGAAACTCTTGTAAGTATAATTGTCTTGTTCTTTGATAGAGTTAATGATCACCAAACCTGAAGCGTCTTATTTTAACATCAAAGTTGAATCAAACTCCTAACCGATGGCAAAATTCCCAAACAAGCACTTTGTTTCCTTGATAGGCTCAATTTGTCCTCATATTTGGTACTGTCTCCTTTATAATAACTAAGTTAACTTGTGTAATAATCCATCTGCAGAGATCTCAGTTTCAACAAACTAAGAAGAGCAATCCCTAGCTCGTATGAAGAACTTAGAGATGTTGAAAACATGTAAGAGTACAGTTATCTTATCTTCTTTATCTCTTTGTGGTTTGTTGAAAATGTTAATATTTTTGGAAGTATCTTGTTCTTGCAGACATTTAACAGGAAACATGTTAAATGGGTCAATCCCAAGTTGGATGCCTAAGGAGAGAGATGGAGATACAATGTGAGTTTCCTCAACTGACGTCCACATCTTTTCTACACAAGTAATTACATGTTTCTTAACATGTTTTTGATTATTCACTTTTGCAGAGATCTATCCTACAACAATTTTTCTGATATTACAACCCAAAAGTGTGTGGACAACCACATGTAAGAAGAGTTACACCATTCCTGATATCATCAATATATAATTCACTATTTTCGGTACATTTTGGTATCTTGTAGGGATCAGTTTGCAGGTTCTTACACAATGGCAAACAACTCGTAAGTTTTAAACCTCATTACATTACATGAGAGAGTTATTGAATTTCCTACACTAGAAAATTGATATAGATGCTCTGTTTCTTACAGCTTGAGTGTTTTCTATTTGAAGAACTTCCAGTGTGTCCTGAGCGTAAGTCTAGTGTTAGATTGACGAATGACAGTATACATACAAGAACCATGATACTAAGATCATCTCATTATGCTAACTCAATTTTGTTTTTCCTCTGTTTTCTTGAAGTGTCTCGTGGTCTCCATATAAACCGTGGTGGAGATGGAGATGAAGTAACAATCAATGGCACCATCTTTGAAGCTGATAACTATGTCAGGAAGCCATTGTACTACGAGAGTACGAGAGTTATATGAATATGAAGTTCATTGTCTAACAAAACTACACATTCTCTTATACATTGGCGGGATCTCTTTAGGCGAATGGATAGGTATAGGGATTTCTGTGGTTGTGTTTTTGCTGATGTTGATTGGCGGTATTATGTTGTCTAAGGTCCAAGAGTCAGATGGAACGAGGTATCGTCATTCTCAAAGCTTTAAAGTTCATAATTTGGCTGGTTTTTTTTTTTTTTTTTTTTTTTTTTTTTTGGTGATGAGCAATGAATTGTGGAATACAGCAGAAACCAGATCGTTTCCTCATACTTTATTTGATTAGTTGGTTTGCTGTATTCTTGACTGCATTCCTCAAATAGGGATTAATAAGAAACCAGTATGTTTCCTCGTGATTTTGTTGAGCTCCTTTGTTATTGGCTGGTTTTGTGTGATCTTGAACTAGGAAGAGAGAAGAAACCATCTTCTGAAGGTGTTTCCTCATAATTGCTTTTGGTGACTTGGTTCTCTGGCTATTGGGTGTCTACTTGAAACAGAACAAACATTAAACCAGTTTGTTTCCTTATAACTTCTTTGATCATCTGGCTGTTAGTTAGTTGGTTTACTATATTCCTGAACTAGGAAAGAATATATAATCCATTCACTGAACTTGTTTGTTAATTCCCACATAATTGGTTTGCTGGCGAATTTAGTGTCTTCTTGAAAGATACTAGAGACTAAACCAGTTTGTTTCCTCATAATTTCTTTGATTACCTGGTTTGTTTAGCTGATTTAGTGCATACTTGAACTATAGCAGAACCTAGTCTCTAAAATTGTCGTCTCATAATTGAGCTTTAGTTAAAGAATCCATTACTACCCTCTTACTGTTTTCCTTGAGCTTATTTTTTTATGTGCCTATAATACTTACAACTCTGTTTTCGCTCTCAGATTTAAAGAGCCTGGACTTGAGCATGAAGCGTTTTCGTTGAGGAAAATCAAAGCTGCCACAAACATTCAGTACTGCAAACAAGATTGGTGAAGGCGGTTTCGGTCCGGTATATAAGGTAAACAACTGGTATATATATATATATATATATAAATATATGCGTACAGAACAAAAGATTGAGCAGAGGGTATGTAAGTGTGATTACATTTTACAGGGGATGTTGAGCAACAGGGAACATGGAGTTCTTGAACGAGATTGGTGTTATCTCAGCGTTGCAGCATCCTCATCTTGTGAAACTACATGGTTGCTGCGTTGAAGGAGAACAGCTCTTGCTTGTTAATGAGTTTGTGGAGAACAACAGCCTTGCCAGAGCACTCTTTGGTTAGTCAGTCGTGTTGGATAAAACATTTATATTAGTTTGTAATCTTTCATTTCTTGGGGTCCAAGTTAGCTTTTGAGTATTGTGGTTTTTCCATCAATATAGGTCCCAAGCATACTCATATCAGTTTGGACTGGCCAAGAGGATGAAGATATGCTTGGGATAGCAAGAGGGCTGGCTTATATCCATGAAGAATCCATGCTGAAGATTCTCCACATAATTAATCAATGTTGAAAAAATTCAAAACTAACCAAATAACACTTTGGGGATCGGACCAGTTAGTGAGTACAACTTTTTATCAATGTTGAAAGAGCTCAAAACTAACCAAAGAGCTTGGAAACATTAACACTTTTGAACACTTTTGAAAGCCTGTGAGTACAACTTTATATCACTAAGCGTGTGTATGTGCAATTGGTGTACATTAACATTTTAAGGCTATGAATATTTCATGTGGATAACTTTTTCTTTCTTACTTTTTTTAAAAGCTCATTAACCAACAGTTTTTATTTTGTATATACAAAATACAAATTAGAAAAATGGAGATAAGAATTTGAAGTCAACCGATAATAGAAAAAAAGAAACAACATCGTAATTGCAGCGGCATATGTTCTAAGGTTTAACTCAATCAAACATTTTGACTTGTTAATTTAATAAAATCCCTAATATATTAAAAGAGAAAACACTATTAAACTAACCTTTGTCTAATGTGTTATTAACAAAAATGTCATTGCTTATGTGTCATCACTAGGTTCACTCTCAAGCCATTTTTAATTAAGACAAATTTTACTAGACAAATTACAATATATGTCATTGTATAAAATATCTTTATTTACTTAGAATTAAATGTTCAACTCACTAACATTACGTTAACCGAATTTAGCTCATTGGTTTATCAGCTCCATATATACAATCTATTGGTCATAACACAATTCGGTTTGGTTGACAAGAAAGTATCTGAGATAAAGGATTATATTAAAAGAGAAAGAAGCCGAATTATACACATAGTTTTACCTGACAATTTGTTACATGTGCCCAGGATTGATTTTTAAAAATATATCTACATAGTTTTAATTTTAGAAGCACATTTTATTTAGTCCTACTCTACCAAACATATTATTCTGTCTAAGGTGTGACGTGAAAAAAAACAGGGAGAAGGCCGTTAAACCATCAATTAATCAATTTAAACCGAATTAGAATTAAGGTTAGACAGAAGCTTTGTCATTAATAAATTAGTTGAGATAAAGATTATGAAAATGATATTAATTTGCATTAACATTTCCAGCAGGTTTCATATTTTTACTCATTGAAAGATATTGCAATGTTTAAAACTATTCATTTTATGGAAACCTAATAAGTTTCACCTATTAAATGAGAACGTACAGATCGGAGTCAAATATCACAATTTTATGCGTGTCATATGCAATTTTTACATGTATGGAAACGTACAGATCGGAGTAACTTCCTATGTCACAGTTCATCATTAAAAATATTGATCGTCAAGTTATTTTGAATTTTAAATTTATGGTAAAGTAATATTCCAAGGTTTCCAAACACTTGATTGATAATCGGTGTAACGGAGGATTTATAATGTCGTCAATCACTTTAAAATCGTTATCAAAAATATGATTCTCTGCACTTAATGTTGTGTTATATGATACCAAACCCTCGAACCTCCTCCCTTTCTTATATAAGGTCTTGACATATGAATGTCAAACTCACCTCAAAATCCATCGGAACATAACTCAATACAAAAAAGCTTAGTTTGTTAAGTATGTCTTCCTTAAGCTCTATCACTGATCTGAAATTTAAACTTTTCTTCCAAGACAATAACCAAGAACGTGTTATAAAATATGCTGAAAAACAAAGGGGTGTTTGCTGAAGCAGTAAATTCTTACATTTTTACAAAGAACTTCACCCTGCGCAAGGAGGAGAAGAGAAGAAGATGACAAGGAAATACACAAGAAAACCTGCTATAAGTATCCCTCCGTACACCAACGTTTGATACGACTTGACTCCGACTGTGTATTTGTACTCTATCTTACAGCATCTCATGTTCTCCCTCTCTGTTTCCAGTACATGTTCTACGTACCTGCAACCATTTTTGTGTGGCGTTACATATTGTTAATTCAACAGATAAAAGTGTTTTGAAGAGAAGTAAGAGACATACTGTTGTGTAAACATGGTGGTCTGAAGAATCGCTGAGCTGTTGAGATGAGCGTCGTATAGTTTGTGGTCGTATAGCAAAGAAGACAGATCCACCAGTTGTTCCTCTACAGTCTGTTCTTACAATCACAACACAGAAATGTAAAAGAGTGTAAGAAAACAATCCATCTGGTGGAAAATTGAGAGTCACGAAAGAACGGTAAAAATATTTTTCTTTGAACTTACATCTAGATATTTCTCTAATCTTTCGACTAGCTCGTGTGGGAAAGGCTCAGGCAATGTGGTTGTCTTCTTGTAGAATGTCTCAACCCATAGCTCTGTTTTGGTTTTGTTCTTTTTGTCTTTCACTGGCTCTCCAAGTGGTGTCTTGAGGTAATCAGATGCAAAGTTTTGTACTGCCTGCACATTATAATAACACCAACAACAACCACAATTGACGAATTCTCTCTCGAAGAGGAAATTACCAAAAACAGATATTATTCAATTCGCTTACCTCTGACGTTTCACGGATTCTGCGCAGAGCAGAATCAACCCGAGCATAAATAGTATTCCTCTGCGGATCAAAGATAACCATAAATTCAGAAGGGAATTCAAATGCAAACTTTTTTTTTTTCAGAAATCATAATGGCTGTTGGACTCACCAGTGCAACATCTTGTAGCATTTGACTCATCTGAGAGGTGTTTGAGAACGGTCCAAACGGGTGACAACCACTTGCCCAAAGCCAATTGGTGACAGGTCTTTCATGCGCATGAGATGTCTTCTCATACGGTGAACTTACACCACCTAAAGCCGAAGCTATGCCTGCAAGTATATGCCGCTGTACCTGTGATGGAACGGCCTGCTGTCTCTCTGTTTCAGACACATAACTGCGAAAAAACAAGAAATCAAAACCCATATGATGACCATAGTAGCAAGTTTATTATTATTTCTAAACTTCCATTTGTTGTTGCGTTTTGCAAACCTCAAAGGTATTTTCTCGTTTAGATGCTGAAGCACAATGACTACATCACTGCTTGCCCACACAAGGCTCTCATCTTCCATCATGAGCATTGGGTCCACATCGGCTAATGAGAGTATAAACCTATATACAGAGTAAAGATTTTGATCAGTTGGTTAAGAGTGTAATTTAAACACTTAATCATTGGATCTTGCTTGGCCAGCGTAATGAATAATCAACTCACACTGGAATAACTCTTGTCCCGTAAGTCCGGTAGAGATCGCCTTTTTTCTTAACGGCCTTCTTTTTCTTTCCCTTCTGAAGTTTCGAGCTATAAGATGACCAGAGAGGCTTGTGCTTAACTATGGAATCAACGGAACCTTCAGATTCATCATCCCAGCTCTGTGTACCAACATATGGAAAGTTTTCCATGAAATGAAACAAAACTTGTGAAAGAAATTTGCAAATGAATTTTATAAGATTTACCTGGCGGAGAAAGTATTTATTAGAAAGCCCAGGGTCAGACACGTCGAGCAAACCAGCAGCTAGAACATCAGTAGACCTTTCCATCTCCTGCAATGGCCAAGCAAAATAAAATCACACGAGACTTCACTGGTGGGAACAGCAACAGGCTCAAGTAAAAAACATTGCTTCTCACTTAACCCATGATTTCTTAGATTATCTTAATCGGAAACTACAGTTGCCAATTATCAAAACTCACTTCTTTGAGGATAGCACCATCTAGGTATGTTTTGGTATGCACATGGAATCTTCCGTCCGTCTTAGTTTCCTGAAGGGAATGCCCACGCATTGCTTTTGAGACAGCAATAGCTAACTTCTCGTGGCGATGTAATGGATGAGCCCCTCCAACGATCACCACTTCTTGCCCTTGATGAATCATTTTCTTTACCTGCAAAGACTCGGCACAGTTAGCATGTGAAAACCTATAGAGTCAAATCCTTGTGCGTACTTTGGATGTTAACTTTCTGAAAGCAGTAAGAACTTGGCTAACATGTCTTTTTACTAATCAGAGAATAAAAGAATAGATAAGAATCCAGTATTTCACGCACATCATTCATCTAACACAAGAAATCTTTACCTCGGATTCTATCTCTTCAATATTTATGCTGTAATTTTGGCCACTTTCCATGATATTATATCGATTGTGGTTTTGGAGCACAATGATAGGCACCAGCACTCTAGTTGCTAGATCAACCGTCTCAAACCTGGTCAAACTCAGAATGAATCATCTAAGCATAATTTTCATTGCTAGAAGTAAGAAAGTCTCGAATATCATATTACCTGACATCCGGAGCTATGACGTGCTCAATTGTAGTAGCTACTAACGCCGCTAACTGACCAGAAAAGATATCGTGGGTTGAATGATGACCAACAGGGCTAACGCTCTCTGGAAGCATTATGTTTCGTATCCTTGGCAATGTTCTGGGACTAACACTCCCCTCTTCAGTTTCAATCTTCCCATATGTACAAGGTCCAGCAGACAAATCTATGACAGTATATCTATCGAGAAGAAATAAAGCATACAACAGTTAGGCCAACAGTATATTGATTATTAATTTTAGAACAAATAAGCCGATTACTACAATATCTATGATTACCAAAGTGAAATGAAGTAGTAATTAGTGCCTGTCTTCATGGTAATCCTCTAAACTTTTTTTCTTGTCTTTTTCGACTATGTATAGTCAACAAAAGGGACAACGATATCACACATCTTTCGTTATGCATAACTTGATGATACAACTAGATAGATGTAATGCTTTCAGATTAAAGTGGTAATTTTGTCAGATCACATACTCATAGCGATAACAAAGAGATACCAAGGAAAGACCCAATGAATTCCTTTATCCATATTTTACCACAACGAGGAAAGGAAAAAGAGAAAAAAAAAAGATGAGTTTACCTGCCTGATCCAAGCCAAACTTGGGACGCTCCTCCACCATTGTATCTATATCGATAAATATAATCTCCCTCTTGTTTCTCCTTGTCTGCATCACTTAGCTCTGGTATCTTTGCAAACATCAAGCTGTCTAGATCAAGTTCTGTATTTCGAGGATCCATTCTTACCTGAGTAATGAGTTAAAGGGTAGTTAAAGAAGAACGCAGCAGCATATAGTCATTTAACGAATAAATGCAAACATGACAAGAAAAAAGCATGTTCAGGGTTATAAACCCAGGAAGACATCACGACTTTTCCAAATAAAACCAATAAAACACAAGAACATTCATTCGGACAATCTGCATATCATATGCAAAGATTCAAGAAGTACGAAGAGTGCTGCAAGCCATACCTTGTCAAAATTCAATACAAATATGGCACTTGGTATCGGTTTATCTGCCGTTCCTGCTGATCCAACTCCCACATCCATATCAAATATATAAGAGTAAAGCCGGTTAAATGCAGTCTCAACTTTTGTTGCCTCTACGTCATAGGCAGGCAAGTGTCTTCCAAAATCAGCCTAAATAAAAAAAAAAAAAAAAAAAAAAAAAAAACAATTTGGCTCAATGCATGTATATACAATAAGATGCAGATATGATAGCAATGCGATGTACATATGTACATGTGTGCGTATGTAAATTAATTTTTATGAGAGAGTTAAATTTGAGATGACAAGATCAAAGCAACCTCTAGTGCAGCACCAGCAGGCACCATGGCTTCTTTCACTGTCTTTTCCAGAGCTATTAATTCAGGTTGCCCAACCTAAAAAACGAAAACAAACGATGAATATTTGATTAGTAGAACAATGGGGACACGGTGAAAATATTTGCATCAGAAGTCTCCAATACTTATAATAGAGGTAAAAAAACTAAATGCACAGTAATAATCTAAAGATGCAAGACGCCAGAGAGGTCAAGCAAGAACAAGATTCTAGGACTTGCATAGCTTAGTAGGTCAACAATTCAAAACGTGAAGAACATTGTACTACACAAACAATAATCAATCTTGATATAGAAAAAGCAGAAACAACAAGCAATACAAAATAATGAAGACTGGTTTAACAAAAATTAATACTCACAAGAAACACATTATAAACCACTCGATGTTCAATATCAAGTGGCTCTCCCGTCTCTTGGCATGAGGGCCTATGGGTCGAGAAACTAGCTCTTAAGAACTCCTCCAATTTGTGAGGATCCATAGAATATCTGTATCCTCCATCTCCACTCATACCTACAAGGACTACATTCACTTCCAGGGGAACCTGAAATGGTACCTGCAAAAGAAAAAGTAGAGGAGCATAAACAAAACAAGCATCATAATATGAACATTCAATCCTAGATGGGTCACCATAAAGCAGCCAGTCTGAAATGCTATCCTCAAAGATGCAGATCATTTGAGTAAAAACATTTACAGCCATATCTACGCACGAGCAAAGTTATGATCATACGAATGAAGAGGAAATAATCGTGAGCCCAGTGGTTTTTAATTGCATTTCCGTGACTCCACAAAGCCAATTACTCGATAGTTTCTGCTTCTAGCTAATCCAGAGTCACTGATGATGATGATTCACATTAATTAAGTCGGGGATTTACCTCGGCACGGGAATGAAGCATGCGGCGAACATCGGATCGCACGCTCTCTCGTACGTCGAGGAAGGCGCTGTGATGCCAGTGAGGATGACCGGGCTCGCGGCGGAAAGGTTGCTTAGCCGACTCGGTCCGGGAAACGAGTCCAGTGAAAACCAAGAAATACGCGACAAATACGAGAGCAGAAAACGAAGTCCACCATGAATCCGATCTCCACTCCATGACCGAAAACAACCGGAGATTTCAGTCACCTCCGATTTGGACTTAGAGTCGATGGGTAGTGAAGACGGAGAAGAATCGGAGAGTGAAAGCTAATTACCAATTTACCCTCATATTTTTGCTGAAATTACAATAGAGACAAAATATCGTCAATTCGTCACAGCTGACGAAGATATTAGAAGCAACAAGCAACGTGTCACTTCTCATGTCGTCGCTTTCCCCAAGAAATATCAAACGAGACAACCAATCACTTTACGTCACGTGTCTCCTCTCACTCCTTTTAACAAGCTCCTAACAGTTTTCTTCACTTGTCCCCAAAGTCTCTCCTTCCTTATCTCTTGGAAGCCAAAAAAGAAATGGATCGTGTGCTCTTCCTCCTCCTCATAGCAGCCGCTTCACTGGTCGCCATCTCCGGCGAGGTGATCGTCGTCGACAGTCTCGACAATCCGATCAGGCAAGTCGTCCGGGAGGAGAACGATGAACAGCTCCTCAACGCAGAGCTCCACTTCTCTCTGTTCAAATCCAAGTACGAGAAGACTTACGCGACTCAGGAGGAGCAAGATCATCGCTTCCGCGTCTTCAAGGCCAACCTAAGGCGAGCTAGGCGTCACCAGCTTCTGGATCCGTCGGCCGTCCACGGCGTCACGCAGTTCTCAGATCTTACTCCCAAGGAATTCCGCCGCAACTATCTAGGCCTGAAAAAGCGGTTCCGTCTTCCCACCGACACTCAGACGGCGCCGATCCTTCCGACTACCGACCTCCCGACGGAATTCGATTGGCGTGAACAAGGCGCCGTCACTCCCGTTAAAAATCAGGTATGTTAATCGCTTAGCTCTGTAATTAACTAATCGTACATGAATGTTCACTTTTGCAAATTTCGACCATTTGAGAGTGAATGATCAGAGATTGGATGTGTTTTTGATATTCAAAAGGGAATGTGCGGTTCATGCTGGTCGTTTAGCGCAGCAGGAGCTCTTGAAGGAGCACATTTTCTGGCGACTAAGGAGCTTGTTAGCCTCAGCGAACAGCAGCTCGTAGATTGCGACCATGAGGTTTGTTTTGTCTCCCTTTTCTTTCTAATTTTAGCTGTAGAGTGTTCGATTTCCGCTTTCTTGAATGAGCACATTTACCGTTACTATAACAGATGAAACAAGTTATCATGCGTCTTCGAAACAATTCTGAGGATTTTTAAAATCTTGCGTTTCCCGTTTGATGTGTTTGTAATTGAAAAATCTTCCTTTTTGCTGCAGTGTGATCCGGAAGAAGCCAATTCATGTGACGCTGGTTGCGGTGGAGGACTAATGAACAACGCTTTTGAGTACACTCTCAAAGCTGGTGGGCTTATGAAGGAAGAAGACTATCCTTACACAGGACGTGACCATTCCACCTGCAAGTTCGACAAGAGCAAGATCGCTGCGAGTGTCTCTAACTTCAGCGTTGTCTCTTCGGATGAAGACCAAATCGCTGCAAATCTAGTCGAGCACGGTCCTCTAGCTAGTAAGTTTTGATTAAAAAAAAAAAAAGAAATTCCTTTTCGTTGAATAAATTATAGAATTAGAGGTTTTTAACACGTTGTCTTTGCTCCTCAACAGTTGCTATCAACGCATTGTGGATGCAAACATACATAGGAGGAGTGTCGTGCCCGTACGTATGTTCAAAGAGCCAAGACCACGGAGTGCTCTTGGTTGGGTTTGGATCATCGGGTTATGCACCAATCCGTCTCAAGGAGAAGCCTTATTGGATCATAAAGAACTCATGGGGAAAAATGTGGGGTGAGCACGGTTACTACAAAATCTGCAGAGGACGTCACAACATTTGTGGTATGGACACAATGGTATCTACTGTTGCTGCTGTTCACACTACAACTCAGTAGAATTATTTAGAACACTACAGGGTTTTACGTAGCTCTTCTTGTATATATGTATATGTATGTGTATGGATTTATAATAAGTTTATAACCATGCTATGGACTGTTATTGTTATTACTATTACATCTTTGTTTCAGTTTCAATGTAAAATAGCTTCTTGTGGTATGTTTGTAGCATCGAATGCTGAAAGATGAAACGTTATCAACATATTAAAAGTTGTAATAATAGAAGTTTTATATAATAAGATTTAAAGTTCGTGAGTGATACAAAGACAAAAGCATACATGTTTATCAATACGTTGGCTTATTCCAAGGATAACAAATATCAAACAGCTTGATTTTGTTTTTGCTTCTGCGTTTGAATCTGCTTTCGTGTTGATCGTTAAGCCTACACGGACCGGTTTGTCTTATCTTCCACACACACGTTTGGCACCAGGTTTCGCCGTTAGAATCTCGGTAGTCATCAAATATGTTGAACCTTTGCCGTCCATTTGGCAGCTCAAAACTACAATAGAACAGTGTCTTTCCAAAGAATTGACGCTTAAATGTAAAGAACCACGAATCTCATTGCGTCACCAAAATCATCGTCTTTTGATTTACAATGATATGGTAACGCGCGCTTGGTTACCGAGATCCCGAAAGGATTAAACATAGCGTTTTGTTGATAACCGATGGTTTGAAACTGAAATGTTGTTGTTTCGGTTTGCATTGGATGACTTTGTAGTTATGAAGATAATCAATATGAAGAGTGATAGGTAGTTTTTTGGAGTATCCACTTTTTGGTATAGGAGAGACTAAGAGAGTGTTTACGCTAACACGATGTTGTTTTGTTACTTTGTAGTTGTTAAATGACTTATATAGTGTGTTGTAATGCAGTTACAAACTTTCGAAGATGAATTTATACTTTTTAGCGTAAACACTCTCTTAGTCTCCGAATATACTTTTTTTTTTTTGCTAGAAACATCCGAATATACTTCTTTCAATTAGTGTATATTAGTAAATATATGGTCAAACTTTGAATTATGATGGACCGGTGACCAGAAGTATATGTTAGGAGAGATGACATAGACGGTAGAAAAATAAATTAGAGGTGTCGCTGCGAGTGTTACCCAATCGCTGAAAAAATACAGCGGCAATGAAAATGGTTGTTGCGGCAGTTAATGTGGTTCCTGACTTCCTGGCTTGCTGCGACTGGTTGGTGGTGTTAATCTCCACATACTTGGAGGAAAAGTGACGTATAATTGATGCTGCAATCGCAGAGAGCAACGACTGTAAAAGAAAAAATACACAGAGTGATTAGTGAATCATGTATGTCAATTAGCCAATCGATCACCAAATGGTTAGTTTTTTTTTTCTCGATTTGTTACTATCTGCAAAAAGTTATGTTCATATACATAATACATGTGTCTGTACATTATGGTTAAACGCGAAAATATCCTTATTACACACAAAAAGACGTTTGGTCTATAGAGTATGGTTAGAATTATATGTTTAATTACCTCTTAAACGTTTTTTATTCCAATCTCTACAGAGAGGTCGATTAGGTTTCTTTACAAAGAAAAACAAGCATATGACATGATTTGAATTTTTAGAAACTAACCAAAATTAATTGGAAAAGTGAATATATTGTATAATTTCTATAAATTAATAAACACTCTAAAATAATAAATTTATTAGATTTTGAGTGTGTATGAGAAGCATCGGATATGATGCTGTATTTTTTGTAGATTTTAATTGTTAGGTTTTCAGTCTGATTTTGGTTAATTAAATTAAATTAAAGTAATATAAACTACTGGTATTAGCTGATCTTGTATTGTATTGCGTAAATATATTCAACAATGGACTTGACGAAAATAATACCATTTATTAAGTACAGAAAAAAGTCTTTTACATAACATAAGTGACAATAAGAACTAAAGAAACGAAAACAAAGTAAGAAAAGAGACAAATTTGGACGACTAAACTAATACGTCAATTACATAAACTCTTAGGTAGCTAATCCCAAAACCAAATTGAAAACGAAGGTCCATACGCATGCTTGACTAGTTGACCCGAACGCTTAGTGATGATGGGGCCATAAACTACGTAACCACCTTGTGAGACGGTCCATCGGAGAAGGAGAAAGCTTCGGAAGAACATTGGGTGTTGCTCCGACCACGACACGAAGCTTGAGCCCAGCCTCACAGTGACCGGTCTTGGAGCTAATGGAATAGTGGACTCCTGGTTTTGTGAGCGTGACGAGATCGTGTCCCGTATTGTGCACGGCTACAGGAGAAGTGGGATCGCAGTATTTGAATTCAAGATCGCCACTGATCTCTAAGACGTCGTTGGCTTCCTCCTTGTATTCGAAAACAAGATTGTCTCCAACAAGAAACTGTTTCTCATCGCTCCACTTGTTATACAAGTCACTTTCTTCAGGAACACTCCATCCTTTAGCGTCACCGACTTTGTAGGTTTTCCCAGAAGGAAGGATCTTGCTCGGTGGTGGTGGAGGAATCGGAAACGATGGGTCGTGGACGACAAGAACGTCGAGTCTTTGTCCCGATGAGCATTGAACATGATTTGAGCTGATGAAGTAATAGAATCCTGGTTCCGTGAGGGTTACGACATCGTGCCCGGTGTTGTAGACGGCTTTGGGAGAAGAAGACTCGCAGAATTGGTACTCCAAAGCGCCGGAGACTTGTGTGACGTCGTTCAAGCTACGATCGTATTCGAAGATCAAAGAATCTCCGACGTGGAATTCTTTACCTTCAGCCCAACTGTAATAGACGTCGTCTTTGGCCGTCCATCCTTCGGAGTCTCCGACTTTGTAGACCGTCGCGGTGCATGACGCCAAAAAAACCGTTGTTAGCACGAGTAAGAAGGTGAAGATCTTCTTTGTTGTTGTTGTGGCCATGATTAGATGATGTACACGAAGAAGGAGAGAAGAAAAGATCGATGAACAAATCGAGAAGCGAACAAGAAAGATGATATCAGAGCTCGAGAGTTGATCTGTGTTTGATGTTTATTGTGTAAGTGAGAAAACAAAGAGGAACCTTGTGTCACTCTTTTATATATAGATCAGGTTTTGCGATCCTAATCCTTTCCTCTTTAAGATTTTCTTTACTACCTTGTTTCCTTGCTTTCCAAGACTAACCCAAAATTCAATAAAGTTTATTTATTTCTTAGTTTTAGTAATTTGATAGAATCTTATCATGTTTTTCACAATTGAGTACCTGATTGCAGCGAAATATATTTCCTTTTTTTTAGGAGTTGTTAAACAATACAATACGAACGACAACAACAAATTAAATAAGAAAGTAAATAATACAATTTTCTTATCATTTCACTTAATAAAAAAATTAAATATGTTCTGCACCAAATTAACCAACCCTAATCTATACATACAAGACAAAAGAACAATTAATGTTTTAGTTTAATTACCATCACAATACTTTTTGTTTTGTGTGTCATTAGGAAAATTAGTGAGCTATAATTTAATTGACTTTGATGTATATAATACCAAAACAAGATTAGTAAAATAAACAATGTTCTATATCCACTAGGTGTTTTGTATATTGATCAAACTAGGGCCACTAAAACAATCATTTTTACTAATTAAGATGTTAAGCTAGGAATTAGCAAAGACACTATGGAACCAACGAAGTTGAGTCCTCTGCATCAACTTGTCTTCTTCGTCTTCCACCTTTAACTTGTAATTAAGATGTTCTTGTACTTACAATTTTTTGAGATGGATTTGTAATGTACTAGAGTTATTATTATTTTGTTTTAAAAAAAAAAAAAAAATTGAATTGAATGTACTAGAATTGTTAGTTTGATGGTACACAAACTTTTTTTTTATAGTCGTTAGAGAGAGAAAACTCTAGAGTTGTTAGATATTCAGTTTGATTTTGGTTCATTTAATTTAAATAAAGGGATTTAAATTTATTGTCTTTAACTAATGTTGTATTGTATTGAATATATATATTCTCACAATCTACTTCGTGGAAATAATACTTTTATTAAATAAAAGACGAAGTGTTAAGTTTGCATGAATGATTTTAACACCCAAAAAAAAAGTTTACATGCGTGACGAAAAGAACTAAAGAAACGAAACAAGAGTAAGAAAATAGACTAATTGTGCGAATTAATCCGATTCGCCCTAAGACTAAGCTCGTTCTAACTGGAAAGACGATCTAACCGAATCGAGAGAAGAAGAACGAAAAATAAAAGAACACTTGAGATTTGGTAACCCAAGAGTTCCTTGCATACTCTCATGGGGCACGTCGGCACGGGCAATTTTTCACTATAACCTCCGCTCAAACTCAATCTGTTACAATCTCTTTCCCTCTCAATCCGTTACAACCGAAAAATGGATTGACTTAGTGTTGACTCTCAATAGAAAGATATAATTACTTATACACCGTCGTTTTACAAAGCAATGATTACAGTTAGGGAAATCGAGGAATATATTTTCACCTTCCTAATCTGAACCGTCAATCTCGCCCAAACCTCGAGATCCTACACAAAATTGGAGTTGGTGCAAATCCAAATTTAAAAACGATCTTCTGCTCTACAATCTCGACCGTCGAGATTCTCTAAAAATCGAACTCATCGAAATGGTCAAATCACCATAATCACGTCAACCCGCCCATTAAGTTTATATCTTTCTTTAATGGATTTGGGGCTACTGTTTGGCCCTAATTTAGCACCTAAATTTGGCCTGCTCTAGGTCAGCCCGACAAGACTTCTTTTGGACCGGCCCATCTTCTTGTAGGCCCATAAACCCAACTTTATCCGTTGTCAAGCTGAGGACAAGCGCCAGCTCGAGGATGTGACTCAGTCAAAAGAACTCAACTTAACCACATGAAATCCAGAACACATATACCAGAAGATCACGGAGGAAGGTGGAACACAAGCCAAATAAGAAGAGGATCGTCGAACGGAAGAAGCCATCTTTTACTCATTTTAAACACTTTAAACCTAATAATTTCTGTATGCTCTCTCATAAAAGTCAGTTATAGCCG